ATGATGGTGCCAACTTGGGCCAGTGAAGCAGCGTCCTCCACAACTAGATTGAAGAACAAAACGACAGCAACTTGTCTGTTCCCCTTCCCCTAATTTCCCAGTACTGTTCCCAACCCCCCAATTACCCAATAAAAATCTTTAAAAAAAAAAAAATAAATAAATAATAAAATAAGTTCTCAAGTGATTCTGATGTAAACCCAAAGCTGGAAGTCCTCTATTTAGAGTGCCTTAGCTTTCACTTGGAACTCTCAGAAAGCATCTTTGGGCCGAGTTCTGCGGGCTCATCCTGACCCTGCCAGAGGTTTTCAAATTTGTAAATTGCTATAGTAGAAAATATGCATAAGTAACTCTCATCCATTTAACATTGTAACATCTGAATTTTCCTGATGACATGAGGGAAAGTGCTGTGCTTGATACCCCTCACATATACAACAGGTATATACATTCCCTTCCCCTGCTTCCTTTCCCCAGTGTTACATCTGTGATTATCCCAGGATACAAATGTATGCAAGATCATGTAAAGTATTAGACAAATTGAACCTGAGTGGTTCTGAGGGAAAAAAATGTATGATGTATAACATCAGTGTGCTAGTGGCTTTGGAATTACTGTGACAGGGCTAACTAACAGAACATCCTTGGGTCTGAGGTATTTTGCTGAAAATAAACATCTATCTGAGATTTTTTCTGCAGTACTGGAGAATGACAGCATATAACTCTTAAAATAGTTTAAAATTGTCCTGGATATTCGTTCCATCTGATTTAAGAATGCACTCATATGTTGACGTATATCGTTATTAGCAGAGGTTTCTGACCTTCCTATTTTTTTTTTTTTTGTAGATCTTCTTATGCTGATATGCTGCATGACAAAGACAGAGTAAGTGTACAAGGAAACTGTTATCTTTGATGTGGGGTTTTGAAACGTTGGATTATAAGAGGGTTAAAAACTCCCCCTGGAGGCAATATGTTAGAATGATGCTAAGGGCCAGTATGGCATAGTAGTTGGGAAATCAGCCAGGAGGCTGAGTCCTATTTCTGGCTCTGCTCTTGACCTGAGTGTGACCTTGGAGAAAAAATGGACTCCTGTGGATCCCTTTTATTAGGAATTAAAATGAGCAGGATGTACTAGCTGATCTCCTCTAAATAAAAGTTCTCTAATTACACAATATTTCACATTGTATAGTCAGTTTGTAATTTAAAAAAAATCTCTAGAGGTCACTGCAGACTGTATTTTGTAAAACAGATTTGGCTTTCACTGCAGAATTACATTTCAGCTTTCCTCTTTGATTTTACTTTTATCTGAGTTATGGACCAGTGCAGTGCTGGTCTTACGATGTTGGCAAGCCAGAATTTCCTTGTCTACCAGAGTTCTTGACTATCTTAGCCATATGGTTTGTAAGCTAGAAGCTTGAAGGAAAAAGTTGCAGGATCAAGCTTAAAAATTGAGCAGTGCAGGGCAGGAAAGGGATCAGGGAATGTGGTAGGGTTGGTCACGAGGCTGTGTGGTTGTCTCCTTCACCCAGGCCTGGTAAACTGCTCAGCTTACCTACTTCTTGGAAACACCATGACATAGTGAACTTCTTCAGTATCGTTGGTGTGTAGGCTACACTGAAGGCATTATGTGCCTCCTGAATTTTCATCAAATATCTGAGTACCTTTGATGAACTTTTGGGGAATGATAGAATGTGGAGTGAACATTGTTCTTGCCTTTTGACTGCTCCTCTCTAGCTTAATGGTCTTGACTCCTAATTGGACTCGTGGGGCTGTGACGGTCTCTGGTTTTAGTGTCATCTATACTTTTCCATGGCGCCTTACATTTTGTTGTTGTTTTAGAATACTTCTGTTATCCCATAAAATTATCTCATGCCTGTTTGAAGTCAATCCTGGTGCATACCCAGCCCCAGGCAACCACTGATCTGCTTTCTGTCTCTACAGTTTTGCCTTTTCCATAAATTGCATATAAATGAAATCATATGGTATATATCTTATATGCCTGTTTTCCTTCATTATGTTTTTGAGGTTCATTCATGTTGAGTATGTATCAGTATTCATTCCTTTTTATTGCTGAGTAATATTCCATTATATGGATATACTGTAGTTTGTTTATTCATTTACCAGATGATGGACATTTGGATTGTTTCCAGTTTTGGGCTATTTTGAATTTTGAGTAGTCCTGTTTGTAAACATTCACATACAAGTCTTTGTGTGAACACATGTTTTTATTTCTCTGGTAGATACATAAGAGTAGAATTGCTGGGCCCGTGTGTTAAGTATATGTTTAACTTTGTAGTTTTAAGTTTCATTTTTCTAATGACTAATGATTTCAAACATCTTGTGCTTATTTGTCATCTGTATATCTTCTTTGGTGTTGTCTAGAGTTATGAACATAGGTATGATTTTTCATAGACACTATCACTGCCAAATTGCCTTTTAAGAGGGCTCTGATTTCACTGTACTATCTTTAAAATTGGGTAATTAAAAAGTATAGCTAACTTAATGGGTGTCATTAATTTGAAGGGTATGCCAACCTTGGTTTTCTGTTTCAGATGCTGCTTATCAGGGTTCTCAGGTGATCAGCTCATGGCTGGACTGAAACTCCCAGGCCAGCTCCCAGTCCCACTCCTGTTACTTCAGAGCCACAGCTACACAGAGAAAACAGTGCCCTCTGCTTCTGGGGGATATAATGTATTTGATGGTCATTTTCCTAGTTCAACAAATTTTATCAGTTGCCATACAGATTTTTTTAAACTTTTTTTTGTGTGTGTGTGTGGTAGAAATCACATAACATAAAATGCCATACTGACTTTATCCAGGACATAAATGCACTTATTTTAAGGATCAAATAGTTCTATAAGGCTTATTGTGAAAAATAGAGGCCCTGTGGTGTATCATTTCCCCCAGACAAAACCTTTTCCTGCTTTACTTTAGAGGCAACCTCATTTCTTCTCCTTGAGCTGTTTTTTTTTGTGTTTACCTCCATATCTAAATAGCTATTATCTATTGAATTCCCACTGTGAGAGCTGAGAATTTGGTTTTCATTCACCTCCTTCCAATTTGTTCCCCTTTCCTCCCAATACTTATAATTTTTGCTAAATCAGTATTCAGTGTTTCAGGAGCCAGGTCGCTTAAATTCTTTGTGCCTCTGTTTTCTTACCTGTAAAATTGGGATAACAATAGTACCTCCTTTTAAAGGGTTGTTATAAGGCAAGCACTATATAAGTTTGTGTTAGTTAAAATCATCTTTACTCTATTAGGACTATATAAACACTATTCACAGTTAAACTATGTGAGATACTCTGATTACTTTTCCTTTCTTGCATAACTCTTTGTTAATAATTATCTTATTTTGGCTTTGTTTTCTATTTACACATCATTCTTTTATGCCCAATCTTTCCCCAATTGTCTAAATGTCCTTTTAGAAGAAAAGGTTAAACAATCAGCTATTTCTGTCCGTTTAACTTCTTGGCAAATGTCTCTGGGTTCATTTTGACCTGCTCCAGCCTGAACCCAGTGCTCTCTAGACCTGCTGTGTACCTGTCAGCCTGGGATTCTTGTTTATCATCCTGGTGCAGATTTCCTTCACTTCCATTTTTATAGTGGGCCCTCCATTTCCTGGATCCTATGTCTTCCTGTGCAACGGTTAACTCTCTTTTTGGCGAAGCACATCCTTTCTTGGTTTCCTAACTTGATTGCACTGTGGTCAGAGCATATGGCCCTTTTGATACCATACCTCCCTCCAGATTTGGATTTAATTATTCTGGGATGTGGCTTGGGCATTGAGATTTTTTTAATGTACACCAAGGTTGAGATCCTCTACTTTAAATGTTCCTACAGAGCCAGCTATCTTACTACGTTACCCAATAGTTTGGCAATCTGCCATTTCTTTCCTGTAATACATCATTAAACATATGTGGAATTCGTTATCTATTGCTGTATAACAAATTATCCCAAAGTTTAGTGGCTTAAAGCAGTTATTATCTCACCGTTTCTGTGGGTCAGAGATCTGGGCTCCACTTAGCTGGGTCCCCTGGTTCTGAGCCTCTTGCAGGCTGCGACCAAGGTGTACGCTGGTAGAATAGTCATCTTAAGTCTCGCTTGAGGGTGGGTCCACTTCCGATTGTTTGACCTTCTAATACTCCTTACTAACTTGCCAGGTCATCAGTACATTTAAAAAGATTTACAAATATCTCCCCATCAGGGTAAGGGTCAGGGTATTTACTCAGCCAAACTCTAAAATGGGAGGATGGAAAAGGAGGCATCGTTGGTTAAGGGTTGGCTTGGGCCGCCAGCTCTGAGCAGCAGGGCCCCGGTTCGGATCCCACATTAGGGCCAGTGACGCTGCTCCCTCTACAGCTAAGATGGTGAACAACAGCTCGACCTGGAGCTGGGCTGCCATGATCGCTGGCAACGGCGTAGGTTGCAGTGGATCTGCAGTGGGCTGCTGAGAGCTACCATGAGTGGCTGGCAGTTGGCATGAGCTGCCAAGAGCCGCCGTGAGCAGCTGTCCAGTGACCAGCGACCAATCTGCCTCACCCAGGAAGAGCTCAATGGTAATACTAACATGGGCCAGTGAAGCGACGTCCTCCACAACTATACTGAAGAACAAAAGAACAACAACTTGTCTGTTCCCCTTCCCTGATTCTCCAACGCTGTTCCTCTCCCCCAATTCCCCAATAAAATCTTAAAAAAAAAAAGATGGAAAATATACCTAAGTTACTAAAGACCTGAACTAAAACCCTTCCTGATGCAAAGAAATAATTTCCTGAGGGGGAAACTATGTTTTAGACAAGGAAGCTGTATGAAATAGAATCCAGTAAGGAAACCAAAAGCCAAATTATGTATTTCAGCAGAGGGAATTGGTTATGCAGGTGTGGGAGTACTGGGAAGCAAATGAGAGCACTGATGTAAACTAGCCATAAAAGCAGGAAGCAGTTACTTTGCCTAGGGCTGGGGCAACACGGGAGAAGGTTGGGGTTTTCAGAACCTAGAAGCTTGGAGGAGAGGTCTTGTGGGCTGGTGCTTAAATCTCCACAAGGGACCTCTGCTGAGTGCTGCTGCTACCTCAGAGGGGCCCGAGGAGGCTGGTTAGAGGATTCCTGGCAGGATCTGTCATCTGGAACCAGCTGCTGCTCCTGGGTGGACACTGATGATAGCAACAGCCACACAGGAAGGAACAAGCTTTCTCCCTCCTCCTACATTCCAGTCACCCTCTAGTTTCCCCTGGGTCTTCTGTACCTAACAGTTGGAAAAAGAAGGTGTTGCCAGAGCCCTGGGCCCAGCATCATTAAGCAGAGTATTGAAGAGTGGGTGTGGAGGTGAAAGACAATCGCCTAATAAAGGGCAAGAGGCGGATCCAGTGCCCCTGTGTTCCTGCAAGGCCCGCCTACCTCAGCTTGTCAGTCAGTGCTGTTCCTCCAGGGGCTGCAAAGGCAAGAGGCTGTGACTTACACTACTGTGGCTAACGGTGAATCCAGAATCTCACAAAGCGCCTTTTTACTTGTTTATGATAACTGGTGTAAAGTGACGGCTATTTCTCCTTTTGTCGTAGAATCTAAAATACTACCAGGGTATCCGGGCTGCTGTGAGCAGGGTGAAGGACAGAGGACAGGAGGCCTTGGTTCTCGACATAGGCACTGGCACAGGGCTCTTGTCGATGATGGCGGTCACGGCCGGTGCCGACTTCTGCTATGCCATTGAGGTGAGCCGCACCCTTTAGGCGCATGTCCTGCTGCTTGTGTGGGAAGTCCCACCCTGTGCTCACCCTGTGCTAAGCAAGCACAGGGCTAAGTTCTGAGGCTATAGAGCTGAATCAGACACAATTTCTTTCTCTAGGAGCATGTTTTCTCCTCTGAAAACAGTGATTTTAGTATTGGCTGCATGTCAGGATCACGGAGGAGCTTTAAAAAATACTGGTGCCTGTCCCCGCCATACCTCCCTCCAGATTTGGATTTAATTATTCTGGGATGTGGCCTGGTGTTGAGATTTTTGAATGTGCACCAAGTTTGAGATCCACTACTTTAAATGTCCCTTCAGAGCCAGCTATCTTACTACGTTTACCGATAATTTGGCAATCTGTCATGCCTTTCCTGTAATAAAACATTAAACATGTTGTTTTTCCGATAATGTAAATAATACATATTTTTATAGGAAATTTAGTAAATATAAAATAAAAATAGAGGGCCGGCTGAGTGGCTCAATTGGTTAAGAGTTCATTCAAGAGTGAGAGCTCTGAGCAACAGGGTCGCTGGTTTGATTCCCGGCCTGAGCTGAGCTGCCCACAGGTGGCAGGATGGCTCAGTTAAAAAATAATAAAATAAAATAAAATATAGTGTGTTAACTCAAAGTTAACCGTTGTTATCATTTTGGTGTATACTCTTTCAGGGGTTTGTGCTGCCCTGGAAAGTTGGGTTTGCTTTGGCAGGTGGGGCTAGGGTAGGGAAGGCTCAGCTTTGCCTCAGAACAGTGAGTGTGGCTGGAGCATCAATTGGGGGAATGGGGATGGAGGTAATAGCAGTGGGGTAAGCAAAGCGGTCCGTATTATGGAAGGCCTGGAATACCATAAGAAAATATAGGCAGTGTTCTGCCAGCAGTGAGCATTTGGGACAGTTTTGAGCAGCAGGGTGACCTGCTCACACTTAGATCTAACACAGTAACAGTCGCACTTTCATCTAAAGAGCACTGGACATATCCTGTCCCAGGTCACAGATCATGGTTTTGTGAGGCAGGTCCTCTTCCTGGCTCCCTTTAGTGTGGCACTGACACCTGCTGTCATTAGGAGGTAGTGCAACCTTCTTGGGAGCCTAAATCCCACTGTGCCTGGCATGTAATGGGAACTCCTAGCTGCAAGTTAAAACCAGTGGAATCATCCCTGTATATTCATTTTCATGACACACATTTGGAGAATAAAGTTATTTGTTACATGATGAAGTCTTATTTATTTAGATTAAATCAGCCCAAAGAAATATTTCCTATGTCTCGAATGTCAACAAAGGTACATTTTGTATATTCAGGAGGAAATTCTGTAGTGGAGGCCCCTTTTACTTCAAATCTTAGGACCAGAATCAAGGAACATCTTGCTAATCTTGGGTGTTAGGATGTTATTAAATTGATTGCTAATTTTTCTTGGGTTTTGGCTCTAATTCCTAGGTCTTCAAGCCTATGGCTGATGCTGCTGTGAAGATTGTAGAGAAAAATGGCTTCAGTGATAAGATTAAGGTTATTAACAAGCATTCCACAGAGGTGACTGTAGGGCTAGGTAAGATGAACACATTCTGTTTTGAAAGCTTTCCTTGGTTTTGTAAGAGAGGAAAAGTCTTATTGAAGTTACTGGAATAAATGTTTCCAGGTAATTGCAGAGATATGGGACCTCTCCATGTGGTGGTCTGTAGATAAGCACTTTGCTTCTCTCCTCGTTTATTTCTTTTCTAGCTAAAACAGATCAGCAGTGAGTAAACCAGAGCTAATCAAGAATAACAGCTGTGATACAAACACAATCTCCTTTTGCTTTAAGTTGGAATTCTTATGTGGCTCAGCTCTCTGAGTTTTGAGTTTTATCAGACAGAAATGAAACTAAGTAGACAGCAGAAAGAGTTTTGCTTAGTTCCAACATCCTACTTCAGCATTCAACATGAGAAATTTGCCTGAGTAGCACAATCTCTCCATGTTTCCAGAATATTTTTGTAGTCTAAGAGTTTGAACCAGGCTTCTAAAATTTCACATACCACTGATATCTGGAGAGCATAATGGAAAGATTTGGAAAAGAAGCTTCTAGGGTGAGGTTATGGATATTACTCTTTTTTAAAAAATGCAGTATTTTACAATGATGGATGCATCTACCTAATGTTTTTCTCCCATTTAAAAAAATATTTTTTAATGGAGAATCTGAAACCTGCACAAAAGTAAGGATTGGTGTCCCCTGTATTTTAAAACATAACATACATACAAAAGAGTGCATAAATCATTATCCCATTTCTTTCTTTGAAAAATGTAGGTTTCTTTTTATTTGTAGATTGGGCACAGGTTACAAAATTAAAACCAAGCAGCAGTGTTGAACTAGCTGTACCAGCCGTATTAGTCCCTTCTCCTCTGGTCACTCAGCACTGTAGTAAGCAAACACTTGGTAAGGCAAATGGAGACACGTGCAGCCTATCTGGGAAACTGACTGCCACACCGTGCAGTTTGACCTCTTTACCCAGCTGAAATGTCCCTTTTTCATGAGTTGCTGTAACTGTTATTTGCCACACATACTATCTTCCAGGATTTCCTGAGAAATGCTTATAGTATAAATTATATTTTACTTTATATTTGAGATCTCCATGTGACTTCGGATTAGGCTGAATTTGCCTGTTGGGTCCGGAATATACAATTTTTCCCAGACATCAGTATATGAAACAGTTTTTCTCCATGGCTTAGAATCCCCATTCCAATGGAGTAACTTGGCAGCTTTTACAAACGGGTGAATATCGTTTCCCAGCACTGGAGCCAAGGTGGCGGACGTTCCACATGGGATCAGTGGTGGAACGCTTTTGATAAAATTCAATCGGCAGAAGAGGTGTGGTGATACTGCCAGCCAGTGTTCTGCTATACAGTCCCTCTTTTACATTGAGTTTCATCCATTTTCTACCTGATTAGTTGTATTCTGTCTTTTCCATTCTGTCAAGTTTGCCACAAAAACTCCAGGATTAAATGAGCAGGTGCTGGCTTTCATGGAAAGCTTATGAATTCTTTCCTTTCTATAGTCAAGATATCCAATGTAATTGTGCTAGTTCCCTGTTCCACGGATGACAGCTTTAGTAGAGGTTGAATCACAGTCTCCTGAAAACGCAGCTGCATGCCCTGGCTTCAGTGGTGTATTGTAGAGGGCAAGAATGTCCCCTTGTACAATTACGTCATCATCCTCGTATGGCCTTCTTTGCACTGGGAACCAGAATTGGCAAGTAGAACTTTGCAAAGGTTAATGGTTTTACGGATTCTCCCTGGTCAGGATCCTCCTTTACTTTCCCTTCCAAAGACTTTGTGTCAAAGATCACAATTTTGTACCTGATGCTTTTCATTGTATTGCTGCTGAGCCAGACCGGAGATGGTCCCCTGTACCATTAAGCGTAACAATGTGGAAAATCACATTGGAGCGAGTGTTGTGCTAAATACTGTTTATGGCTGCAGTGGTTCCCCCAAGCCTATCTTCAGATGCAGCAATGGCCACAGGAATCTCCTCTTGTCTCCCATCTACCGCATGTTGGGGCGCATTTAGGACAAAATCGGTGGGCTGAAGCCCAACAATTCCTGAACCTGAAACCTAGTTCCTTAGCAAACTGCTCAGGCCGAGGAAGTTATGGTGTAAAACAGGACCAGGACGACGATGTTTACTTTATGGAATGACATCTTTCTCTTCTGTCTTACATAAATATTAGTTACTAGCCCTGCAGTAGGAGGCGGAGCCGCTGACTCATTATCCCATTTTTTAAAAAAGATTTTTATTGGGGAATTGGGGGATGGGAACAGCGCTGGGGAATTGGGGGAAGGGGAACAGACAAGTTGCTGTCNTTTTGTTCTTCAGTCTAGTTGTGGAGGACGTTGCTTCACTGGCCCAAGTTGGCACCATCATTGCGCTCTTCCCGGGCGAGGCAGATCAATTGCAGGCTTCTGGACGGCCGCTCACAGCGGCTGCTGGCTGCTCTCGCTGGCTGCTGGCTACACACGGTAGCCCATGGCAACCCACTGCAGCAGGGGCTGCAGCCTTTGCGGTCGCCACCAGGGACTCATGAATGACAGCCCAATTCCAGGTTGAACTGTTGTTCAGCATCTTAGCTGTAGAGGGCAGTGTCACTGGCCCTCATATGTGGGATCCGAACCAGGGCCCTCTGGCGTCCCAAGCCAGCTCTTAACTAACGTGCCACTCGGCAGGCCCTCATTATCCCATTTTTAATCAACATTATTGAGGTATAATTTACATAAAATTAATGCACCCATTTTAATGTATAGTTTGATGAGTTTTGACACTTGGAACCACCACCAAAATCAAGATAATAGAATCTCTCCATCATGCCCAAAGAGATTCTTTATGATCATTTACATTAATCCCTCCTATAGGCCTGGCTCTAGGCGCCCACTGAGACTTGTTCGTCAATATAGATTAGCTCTGTCTTTTCTAGAATTTTGAGTAAGTGGGATCGTACAGTGTGTACTCCTTGTGCCTGCTTTCTTTTTCCGTAACATATTGCTTTTGGGATTTGTCCACATTGTTCTGTATATCAAGAGTTTATTCTGTTCTTTTGCTGAGCAGCACTCCATGTGTGGATATAACATAATTTGTTTATCCCTTCACCTACTGATGGGCACTGATAGTTTCTCAGATAGGTCTTTAGGTTCACTGACCTTCTGCAGTATCTCATCTGTTAAGCACATCTAGTGACCTTTTCATTTCTGATATTATATTTTTTTGGGGGGGGGGGGCCTTGCCCAAGCAAGGCCTCAAAAAATTTCACCACCAATCCTTCAAGTGTTCCTCCCTAGGGAAATATCTACTTAAAGGCAGAAGATGTTCTGTTTGTCCCCAAAGAGAGACGAGACTTTAATATAATATCTGATATTATATTTTTCGTCTCTAAATTTTCATTTGATTCTTTTTATAACTTTTATTTTTCTCCTCCTTGTGGTTATGTGTTCCTTTAAATACTTAACATATTTACATGAACTCTTTTAATGTCCTTATCTGTCTTTTCCATCATCTCTGTTTTTCAGGGTTCTATTAACTGATTTTTTTTTTTAAGATTTTTATTGGGGAATTGGGGGGATGGGAACAGTGCTGGGAGATTGGGGAAGGGGAACAGATAAGTTGCTGTCGTTTTGTTCTTCAATCTAGTTGTGGAGGACGTTGCTTCACTGGCCCAAGTTGGCACCATCATTGTGCTCTTCCCTGGAGAGGCAGATCAGTCGCCGGCTTCTGGACGGCCGCTCACTGCGGCCGCTGGCCGCTCACGCTGGCTGCTGGCTACACACGGTAGCCCATGGCAACCCACTGCTACAGGGACTGCAGCCTACGCCGTTGCCGGCGACTCATGGCAGCCCAGCTCCAGGTTGAGGTTGCTCAGCATCTTAGCTGTGGAGGGCAGTGTCACTGGCCCTCATATGTGGGATCCGAACCGGGGTCCTCTGGCATCCCAAGCGAGTTCTTAACCATCGCGCCACTCGGCCGGCCCTCCCCTGCTCTTCTGAAGCTAGTAAATAATGCCTAGGTTTCTGGACTGTGGGACTGGTGGTGCCATTCACTGAGGTGGAAACATCAGAGGGAGAAGCAGGTGCATGGGGGGTGGGGTATGGTTGGGTCAGTTTGGGAGAGTATATTTCAGTGGGAGCTTGGCCTGATATGAGAGGATGGACAGGGCCACTCGGGAGGGTCGTCTCTGTGCCTCCTTTCATATACTGCCATTGAGCGCAAGTGTACTTCATAGGAAGTGGACAGTTTTTACCTTTGCTATTCTAACCACCACCGCCTGGAGCAGATCTCGTTACCCGCATTTTACAGATGTTCAGCCCTAAGGGTTCAAGACTAGAAAGCAGACTCAAGGCCCAGGTCTCCATGACTCAAGCAAGGTTCAGGCTCTTTCTGCTGCACCCTTCTTTAAACCAGTTTAATGCTTCTCTTTTCTTGCATCACCCTTGAGACTTGTCTCCTCTGTAGGGAAGATGAGTGGGCTTTGTCAAATTGTAATTCATGAGCCATTAGGAATGTTTACTTAATTTACTATGATGAATGGTCCCTTCCAACATCTGTTTATCTCTTGGCTCATTAAAAGTTATAAGTGTAGAAGCAACATTACATTACAGAGGTTTAGAAAATGGGGTTAACAGAAAGACCTTCTATAACATTTTATCCCCAAACAACTGTTATTTGGGGGGTTGTTTGGCAGCAAGAAACAAACTTCAGGGGGATTTAGTGTAAAAAACTGGGGATTCTGAACTTTGGATGTCAGTGGAATCAATCAGCCTCTCTTTCTTGCTTTGATTTTTCTCTCCCTCTCTGTAGCCTAGAAATGTTTGAAGTACCAGCATTCAATTTTTGCTTTTTCAAATAATTTTTGCTTATTTAATAATTAATAATTTGTTAATTTGTATACAGAAAAGTTGAAAGAGTAATACAGTGAACGCCTATATTCTCTTAACCAAGACTTACCAATTGTTAGCATTTTGAGATATACAAAGGGTGCCAAAAAAAATGTATACACATTTTAACAAAGGAAAAAACTGTATTAAAATTACACTGATGGTAACCACTTTGAGCACCTCTTGTAATTGCAGAAGTCAAATGTGACTTGTATTCATTTTTTGTTATTGGTATATATTGAGTATTACAATTTTAATAGTTTTCCTTTTTTTCTTAAAGATAATTTAATATATTTATTTATTTATTTTATTGTTAGTTTCAGGTGTACAGAACAATGCAATAGTTATCCTTTTTACCCTTCACCAGTTTTCCTTTCTTAAAATATGTGTACATTTTTTTAGCACCCTCTGTATACACATAAATTTTTTTTTTTCCTGAACTTTTGGAAAGTCAGTCGCAGATATGACATGACATTTTAAATACTTCAACATCTATATGTATTCTCAATTTAATGACTTAGTAACCTTTTATCTTGCACCTGTTTGCTGTTAATATTAGGTTGTCGGAAAAGTCATGATATATTTTTTTCTGTTTTTTTGTTGCAAAAATGCGTCAAGACTTTTTTGACAACCCAATATTTTTTCTAGTCTATTGCTTGCTTTTGACTCTGTTTCCTTGTGTTTCTCAGATGGTGACATGCCATGCCGTGCCAACATCCTGATCACGGAGCTGTTTGACACAGAACTGATTGGGGAGGGAGCGCTGCCCTCCTATGAGCATGCGCACAGGCATCTTGTGCAGGTAGGGGACTGAGAGCCTCCTTCAGGCATATCGCTGTGACCTCAGCCAGCTCACACACCTCTCCATGCTCTTCACAGCCCAAGTCCTCAGCACCTCTCCATGGACGCTAGGACACCCATTTATTCCTGCAGAAGTCTAGTTCTTAATTATTACTTCCGTGACTCTTGAATGCCAAGTCTTGGTAGGTTAGAGTCAAAAGGCAAGCAACTATCTTCATATTCAATTCAATTCAGCAACCATTCTTTGAGTGTCACCTGTGTGTAAGGTATTCTAGCATCCACGGAGAAGTATAAGATCCTTATTGCTTCTAACCCACACTGGTCAGCAGTGGTAAGGACTAGGTAGGCTGAATAGAGAGGCAGACAGAAGCACCACAAACATTTGATGTAGGATGGATTGAAGAGGTCAGGGGTCAGGAAGGAGATGAGGGCATGTGGAGGAGTTGGAATTTAGAAAGGCACTAAGGAGATGGAGAGGTATCCCAGGCAGAGGACCTGTTTGGTATGTCACTGAGAGTATCAGCCTGGGGGGCTTATAAGCTAATGGCAGATAACGGGGGAGAGGGAGGAAGTCCTTGAAGGCCAGACCATTCCAGGTAAGGGAGTTTGCATGGTGGCAGTCTTTGACTGTTTCTTTGAAAAGAGAGAGACATGCTAAAAATAGTGTCTTGGAGACGCTGGTCTTGCTTTTGTATGGATATAAACTGGAGGTGGAGATCCAGAGACAGAGGCCAGCTGGGGAGGTGTGAGTGTCTGCTTCTGCTGGCACCTGCCCTGTAGGCACCATCCAGGTGAGCCTGCACCTGTCCCAGCCAGGGGCCTTCTATGGGGATTCTTGGTGCTCTCAAAGTGAGGAAGGGGCCTCCTTCCAAGGCAGTCAGGGCCAGAGTCTACATCACTCACACGGTCAGCATGTGATGGTGATTGTTCTGCACATCCCCACACTTTATGAGCTGTCTCGTTTTTTCCAAAGTGTAAAATCCTTTTCTAGTAACTTCAGTAGTAAGAATTTCTATTTCTCCACATTAAAACCACCAACTAGATGTATCCTTGGAACAGAGAACAAGGATAGTTAGAATTATGTTCTTGTTGCCCCTAATTCATCTTATCAAAGAGGTGGGCAGAGAGCCATCCTCAGTTTTCTCTCAGCTGGCCAGTAGCAGCCAGGTATGCATTATCCACTCTAATCACTGTCCCCATCTGCCCACCCTGAGTCTGAGCGTGATGAAATTTGGGCTGGCGTACAGAGTCTTCCATGGCCCTGTCCCTCTTCCTGCCTTATTGGAGGTCCTGGAACTGGGATACTCGTGTGTCTGACAGTCCGTGTGGTGTTGACCCAGGGATTGATCTCAGAAGACACATTTCTTGAGTGCCTTCATTTTGCCAGGCTCTTTTTTGGGTACCAAGAATATGAAAGTGAGCTGGGGAGGCAGGGAGGTGAGCAGGTCATCACAGGAAAGTTTGAGGTGTGCACTAATGGCGGACAGTGAGGTGAGATTCTGCCCACTCCGGCTGGGGGAAGGTGGAGGGTCAAGGAAGATGAAGCTGGAGCTGAGTCAATCTTGGAGTGATCAGGTGTTGGTCTGGCAAGCGGGGGTGTTCGTGGCAGAGGAGATCAGCATGCATAAAGACATGGAGGTGAGTCAGTGTGGTGGCTCCCAGGCCCTGCAAGTTGTTCAGTTTATGGGTAGCGCGGGAGTTGGGGTTACAGATAAGACAAGGTTACTGGGCAGGGCTAGACCGAGAAGGGCTGCCATGCTCCAGAAGGCAGGCTGGCACCACAGGGGATTGATTTATGTAGGCGGGCATGTGGAGAGCAGTTGGGGAACAAGACTGGAGGCAGAAAGACTGGTTAGAAGGTGGTTGGAGTCATCCAGGTGCTCAGCTAAGGTGAGTCTCAAGCAAGGGTGTAGAAATGGGCCCAGAGAGGCAGACTCAGGGAGGAAGAATGTGGTCAAGGACTTGCCGATTACTTAGATGTGAAGGCATTGAGGATGATGCCAGGGTTTGGGGCTTGGCCTACTGGATTGGATGGTGGTGCTCCCTGTCAACTGGGAGTATGGAAGAAGGGCCTGGGCAGGTGGGGGAGGGCTGAAGGTGATTTGTCTAGTTTAGACAGAGAGTTTAAGTTGTCTGAAGGTCAGCCAAGGATAGAGGATCAGGAGGCCTTTGGATACATGGGTATCTGGTAAAGATGGAATGGTTGAGGTCACTCTCGTATGTGGAGGAAGAAAGAAGGTGGTCCAGACCAGGTCTGTGGTGAGTCCCCTCTCTGAGGGATGGGCAGGGAGAGTGAGTCCTACTACAGTAGTGCTTCTCATCCCAAGCTGTGTCTGGAGACATTTTTGGTGTTATACCTGCGAGGGGGGTGCTACTGTCACCTTGTAGGTGGAGGCCAGGGATGTTGCTAAAGGTTCTGCAATGCACAGAACAGCCCCTGCAACAAAGATCCTCTGGCCCAAGAGATCACTAGTGCTGAGGTAGAGAAATCCTGTGCTTGTCATTTCTGTGTGGTAGCAGCTTTGTGTCCTCTTCACAGCTGGGCCCCCAGTGCCTGGTGTGTAGAGGGTGTCGAAGAATGAATGAGGTAGGAAAACTGGGCAAGGGACTACCGCCAACGCCAAGGGAGCAGAGTGGTTGGCAGTGCCGGTGAGGCCAGGAGGTCAGGTCAGTGGAGGGTGGACACTTGTCCGTTGGGCCATGCAGTAAGTAGGCTCTGGTGTCTGGGCAAGAGCTGCACTGAAGGGAAGCTCTGAGCCCAGTGCCAGAATTAATGCTCAGCAGGAGACTTAGACGCCTTCTTCAAAATCAATGTGGGTGTTAATCAGCATGATGTCATGGAAGGTTTATTTTTACAGTATTTAAGAGTGTCAGGTAGCTAGGAACTTTTCTGACATAAATCATTTTAGACATTGTATGTATTTCTTTTTCAAATCAAGTTTCTTTTTTCTTTTCTTTCCCAAGGGCCGTGGGCCAAAAACAGTTGACTATGCTAATAGTGGTAAGGTGTTAGATGTTCCTAAGCTGTCCTAATATTAAAGAATAAACCTCATTTGATCAGTTGGAATTACTGTGAGTCCATGTGCCTGGTTTATTTATTTATTTTTAATATAAACTTAGGAAAATTGTGAAGCGGTGCCTCACAGAGCAACTGTCTACGCTCAGCTTGTGGAGTCCAGAATGATGTGGTCATGGAACAAGCTTTTTCCCATTCATGTTCAGACCAGACTTGGAGAGCAGGTCATCGTCCCCCCCTCGGAACTAGAAAGGTGTCCTGGCGCACCCTCTGTCTATGACATTCAGCTGAACCAGGTGTCACCCACTGACTTCACTGCCCTCAGCAGCGTGCTGCCTATGTTCAGGTACCAAGCAGCAAGCTGGGTGACAGTGCTTTGAGGCATTTGGTGGAATTGGGGTCTTCGAAAATTCTTTCTGAGTGGAAAGGAAGCCAGCTGATGTCACCTGCCACTGAAGGCAGGAGTTCATTGCAAACAAGTCTCATTGCTGGTGAGGTCACCATAAAAATGGAGTGTGTGAACTTAAAATATACTTAAGTTCCTGAATCTTCTTCCACAGTGTGGACTTCAGTAAGCAAGTCAGCAGCTCAGCAGCCTGCCATGTCAGGCAGTTTGAACCTCTGGCATCTGGTCAAGCTCAGGTGGTTCTCTCCTGGTGGGACATTGAAATGGACCCTGAGGGGAAGATCAAGTGCACCATGGCCCCCTTCTGGGCACACTCAGACCCACAGGAGCTCCAGGTAAGAGGCAGGAGCTGAGCGCATTTTCATGTAAATCAAGAAACTTGTCATCTGCTTTTTGTTGTTTGAAAGTAGCATGTTGAACCTTAGATTCACAAGAATTTACAGCCAGAGGGGATTATGTTAGGATCAACGTCAAAGAAGAGTTTAAAAAAACAAACAAAACAACACCTGAAATTAATGATAATAATTAAAAAAACAAGCCAGGCTAGCTATAATAAGATATAAGATACCTCTCAGGCCAAGTTCCAGGTCAGTACCAGTGGACACAGTGAACCATAGGGAAGTTTTGGTAGGCTGGCTCTCCTATGTCCTGGCATAGCCATCATTAGATTCCACACCCCTGTCCTCTCAGAGTCATCCCAGGGGGCCTCAGATCAGCTTGGAATAGAGAACTACAGTCTCTCTACAGCCTCATTTTCTGTGATGTCAAAAATCTACCTTTCCCAGCTCAATTGAAAGTGGGCAGAGAACATGAGAACTATGAAAAGGAAATAAATACAAAGTACTCCTTAATATATGAAAAGTTGTTCAGCTTCACTCATAAGAGCAATGCAGATTTAAACTAGTGAGATACCATGTTTCACATATTAGTGAATAAAGTTCAGAAAGTTAGGTAATGCGTTGTTGGAGGAGCTGTGGGGAAGAGCCGGAGGTGATCCGCAGAGCATCTGTGGTGCTCAGCAAGGCTAATGTGTCATGATGGGAAGTGATGCCACTTTTAGACATTTAGGCTCTGGATAGATTTGCATACGTGTAGAATGACGTGTGCTAGTATGTTCATTATAGCCTTGATTTAATAGAAAAGACTAGAACACTCTAGAGGGCACCAGTAGGTGACTGGCTAAATCCATTATCCTACCATCAGTGAATGAGTCAGCTCTCTGTGCTCTGATGTGGAATAATCTCCAGGATGTATCATTAAATGAAACAAAAATAGAGGTGCAGACAGTGTGTGGTACGCCAACGTTGGTGTTATTAAATCATTACATGTGGATAAGTGTATATGTGTGTGCGGGGTGTGTGTAAGGGTATCTTTGGAAGAATTCACAGAAATAGGTAAAAACAGTTGCTTCTGCCGGGGGCAGGGGCTGGAGGTTAGAGGTGGAAAGGAACCTTTTTTTTCACTCCATGACTCTTACATCTTTTGAATTTTCTTTTATGTGAATGTGTTAACCCCTCTACACATACACTCAGGGAAGAAAATGGGGAAGGTGCTTCAGGGTTGAGGAGTCAAACCTTCCCTCTCTACCTGGGAGGTCTTGGGCATCTTCCCCTGTGTCCTGTCATCCTGTTACCACTTGCTGGGCACTGGCTTTGTTTTGATTGGTTCTAGGTGTACACAGGTGAGTTTCGGAAGTCCCTAGCAGCTCCCCTACTCCCTGAGTCACTGGTTAGGCCACAGGATCATGGCTGCTTCGGGATAGTGGTCAGCTCCCCTGGCACTGTGAGCTCCCCCATCTCCACTTTACTTTCCAGTCCCCTGGCCCAGGAGGGAGGGTGTGCTTTTAAGCCATGGGTGTGAACGTCCCTCGGTGCAGCCTTGGTCCTCTGCAGACTGAAGGTATGTGGGTGGGTGGGTGGTGGTGTCAGAGTTCTTCTGCAGAGTTCAGCTTGACACTGGGCTGCTCTATTCTTCTCCAGGAGTGTGGTGGTTGCGAAATCAGCAGAAGAGTATCATAAAAATGTTAATACTTTTCATTTGCCTGGCTTCATAGTGCCACTCTGTGTATTTTCTCCTTGGATCCTCATGTTAGACATGTTGGGTAACCACATAATGCCCAAACTGAGACTCGGCCTGGCCCAGTGCTTGGAGCAGGGCCTTATGTCTAGGCAGTGGTGGGTGCTCTTCCCCAGATCTCCTGACTATAGGGCTTGTGTCCTTCCTTCCTCTACCTACCAGCAGTGACTTTTGGACTGGCAGGGATTTGAAATGCTGCTAATGAATCTCCCTCATGACTTAACTAAACTACTCTTGATCTGAAATCTACTCAGCCCATCTCACCTCAGACAGTGGGTTCTGTTAGCAGCTCTTTAGCATTAGGACCTGGGTCACTGGTATGTGGGAAGGACATGACGAGTGGGAAGCCCCATGGGAGCACCAAGGGGTCATGGGAAAGGCTTCTCTTGTCTTAGAATCAGTTTGCATAGTAGAGAATGAACAACAGGTTTTAGAGACCTATTTTTCTTCCTTGTTACTGTTTAGTTTTTTCAGAATGTATCTGGTTAGATTTTCATTTCCTAGCTTCTTTGTTCAAATAGACATCTTAGATCCAGGGAATGTCATTCACCTGCCTTTTAGTTAAATTCAAGCCTGGGGAGGATAGGATACAGTCCTGAGAAGTGAACTGGCATCGGCTGCTTTTGCTTCTGTGCTGAGTGGCACTCTTGGAGTCTCACTGGAGCCAAGTTTTCCTTAGTTCCTGACAATGAGAGTGAGCAGGCGGCCATCTCATCAGAGTTGAGCCAGGCATCCACGTTTTAGGACAATTCTTTCTGTTTTAAAAAGAGTCTTAAGAATTATAAAAGTAATAAACCTCATTATATAAAACAAAAATGAATCAAGTCACTCATGGTCCTACCACCCAAAAGAACGCCCTTTCCTCATGCATGAGTTTTTGTCAGTGCTAATTTCTGGCTTGTTTCCTGCTGCACCATAGTCTTCATAGTCAGCATTTTAAATGTCTGTATAAGGAACTACATACCCATTTCTGAACTGCTGGACACTTGGGTTGGTCCCAGTTTTTGCTATTATAAACAATTGTGTAATATGCATTTTTATGTGAATATGGCTTTTCTTTTTTTTGGTTTGGTTTTTTTTTAGGATAGAATACTGTATGTGGGGTTTATAGTATCAGAAAAGATCAACACAGCTTATTGAAGGTTGACATTGTAAACCATGTTTCACAATTTGCAGTCTTCCAGTTCTTTAAAAATTATTTAATTCAAAAGAATTAAAAACAAAAAACTTTCTGTACTATCTCCCTAACTTTGTTTTGAAAAATGTTAAGCCCACAGAGTAAGTGAACATGAACACTGATATGCCCTTTACTTATATAAATACCAGTTTTTAACATTTCACATTTGCTTTCTCTCTCTCCCTTCCTCTCTGTCTCTGTCCTTCCGTCCCCCACCCTCTATAAGAGCTGGAGTCCTCTCCCCTGAGTCCCTCTTGAAGACTGCTATCCTAGGCTGCATTGGATCCTCCTAAAGCCAGCAGTGTTTCAGCAACCTTTCAGGCTATTAGCCTCTCTGACTTGACAATTTTCTTCTTTATCTCTTTGGCCATCTGTAGTCCTCACCATGGTCTCCCTGCAAACTGATTTTTTTTTTTTAAGAGTTAATTGGGGAATTGGGGGAGGGGAACAGTGTTGGGGAATCGGGGAAGGGGAACAGACAAGTTGCTATCCTTTTGTTCTTCAGTCTAGTTGTGGAGAATGTCGCTTCACTGGCCCATGTTGGTGCCATCATTGTACTCTTCCCAGGTGAGGCAGTCGCTCGCCGGCCATTGGACATTGGCTCACGAAAGCTCACGCCAGCTGCCGGCCAGCCCCACTGCAGACTACACCATTGCCTGTGACCTTCAGCAGCCCAGCTCCAGGTCGAGCTGTTGTTCACCATCTTAGCTGTAGAGGGCAGCGTCACTGGTCCTAATGTGTGGGATCTGAACCGGGACCCTGCTGCTCAGAGCTGGCATCCCAAGCCAACTCCTAACCAACGCGCCACTCGGCCGGCTCTGCAAACTGATTTTTGACTTGGGTTTTTAGCTCCTGGATTAGAAGCGTTGTTCCTGTTGTAGCGAGATGACTGCCGATCCTCTGTTTCCCATTTCAGTGGCGGGACCACTGGATGCAGTGTGTGTACTTCCTGCCACAAGAGGAGCCCGTCATCCAGGGGTCAGCCATCTGCCTGGTAGCGCATCATGATGACTACTGTGTGTGGTATAGCCTTCAGAGGACCAGGTAGGCACTGGGCCTGTGACACTGCATTTATGTGAATTCCCCATTTATATATCATTTGTAAATTTATAAATTCCTCACTTATAGACATTTATGTGTCTATAATGGGGAATTATAGAGGCACAAGTGGGCACATTTGTATTTGAACAGAATAAAATAAGAGCAAAAGTTTGTGACTGGATGTGCCATCACCTCTTGTGTGTTCTCAGAAGAGGCTGCCCCAGTTGTGGAACTCATGTCTGGAACAGACATATATGAGAGTCTTGAATTGGAGGGCCCTCCAACCTCTCACGCCCAGCGAAGAGCCAATGCCTAGACTCATACTCTGTATAGGACTATGGGTGTGTCCCTTGGAGCCCATCTAGGTTTCACTGGGGCAGGTCCCTGTGCCATGTTTTTATGCTTGCCAGTATCTAGCAGGTCACACTCATCATCCTGTTTGTCTGTTCATTCCCTGGCCCAGCCCTGAAAAGAATGGGAGAGTTGACCCAGTGCGCCCTGTGTGTGACTGCCAGGCTCACCTGCTCTGGAACCGGCCTCGGTTTGGAGAAATCAATGATCAGGACAGAACTGATCAGTATGTCCAGGCACTGAGGACGGTAAGTATCCAGCCCCCTGGATGCTTGTAGGCAAGAAGGAGACTGTCCCGTGAGCCCCAGCTCGTTGCTCACTTTTGATATGCTGCTTTTATTTTCTATACTCCCTGTGTGAGTGTTCAGCCAGCATTTTCTTAGTGGGCGCTCATTCTCTGTTCGCCTGTGAGATCCTCCAGCTGGAAACCTCCCCATGGCCCCTCCCTTTGTCCTGCTGGACACTTTGCCTTTGTGATCCCCAGCAATTCCTGTGGGTAATCCCAGTGGATCCAGCCACTCCATTCTTTCATCTGCCTCCTTTCTAAAATTTTCTGGAATGTAAATCTGGTCATGTAACTTTCCTGCCTGAAAATCTTTGCTCCCTGCTGCCTATAACTGGGGTCTCTCAGCCTGGGAACCACACTCAGTGTTTGGAGGGCGGGGGGGTGTCTCTTGAACCACTTGGAGTTGTATGCAGAAATACATGTGCACGTCATGCATTTTGGGAGAGGGAAGATCCCAACCGTCCTAAGTTTCTCTCAGAGGGATCTGTGCCCTGTAAAGACATCCTTGCATTTGGTGAGTCACTCAGCAGGCCCACAGCTGTCTGCATGGACTAGGAGGTGGCCAATGGCAAGTGGGACAGGCTGTTAGGTGGGCCTTCTAGGACAGCTTGAGAAGAGTCTTTCCTGACTATGGGGTCTGAGTGGACAGAGGTGAGTGAGGTGGGCGTGTTGGAGGATGCGGCTGGCTACCGCTTGGGCTGAGGACAAGCATGACTGGCCCCGGGGGATGGATCGAGGAGATCAGACTGAATGATCACGGAGCGAGTTAGGGGTCAGAAGAAGGGAAGCAATTCTGTCCGTTTGCCAAGAAGAATTTCTTGATACACTGTAAGAAAACTTGTGCTGAAGTTGATTTTTTCTGGCAGGTGCTGAAGCCAGACAGTGTCTGCCTATGTGTGAGTGACGGCAGTCTGCTCTGCATGCTGGCCCATCACCTCGGGGCAGAGCAGGTACTGGACACGTTCCCTCCCGCCAGCATCCTGAGGGCAGCTCTTGAGTTAGGGTGTCATGTGGTCTGGGTACACAGTTCTGTCACTGAAACTCTTTGCAAATGCAGCTGCCATGTATGTGGTGTGCTTGGTTTAGAGACTTAGGGGTGGATTGCCTGCGTGTGCAGGCTGGAGTCAGGCTATAGCATTGCCCTGTAGCTGCAGCTCTGGTGTTTGCGCCGGCCACCTTGCCGGGGTCAGTGCAGACTGTGGGCGCTGTCCCGGTGGGTAGTAAGCACAGGTGGAGGTGGTTAGGTGGTGCCCTCTGCCTTGGAATGATCTTGTCGCATTTTACCCTTTAATTTCTTTCTCTCTTAAGTGAACGTTCTACAACTAACAGGATGGTATTTATTCTCTCTAGGTATTTACAATGGAGAGTTCAGCAGCTTCTCATAGACTGATGAAAAAAGTAAGTGATAATTGTTGTTACTGAAATAATGAGAGGACCTGTGGGGCCTGCCTTCTGGAGTCTGGGACTTAGCACTTTGAAGCAGTGTCAGCACCAAGGGGACTGGGAGAAGTAGCAGCTGCTAGTGAGAGCTCTCGCCATGGGAGCTGGCCTGGAGGTCTTCTAGGGCTGTCATTGAAGAGAAGCAGATGTTAAGACTCCACTTTGTTTTTTGGCTGAAGAAGTGTAGGCTTTTCTTTTCACTTCACACGAAACTAAAAAAATTCTTTGCAGTGATACAGCTGCATGTATGATTTGTTTTCTGGGCCGAAGGAGTCATTGCTCACAGGCTGGCTTGACTGTTAGGTTCTGGGATGGCATCTCTTCCCAGCCAGTGATTTAATTTGGGTTTCCTCTCTAAGGATAACTCTCCGCCCCTAGAACTACAAGCCTATCGATGTGCCTACAAGAGAAGTTTCTGCTTCTGTTACAACATTTTGCTAGTGATCTCACCCTTGGTGTATCAGATGCCCTTGGAGGGGAAAATTTCCACGAAGCAGATAAACGTGGTGCTCTAAAACTGTTTGGCCAGAAAGCTGCAGACAGATAAAGCAACTTTGAGATGTTTTTTCTGGACAAAAGTAATACTTTTATTATTGTCTCTCTAAGATTTTCAAGGCTAACCACTTGGAAGATAAAATTAATGTAATAGAGAAACGGCCTGAATTATTAACATCTGCAGACTTGGAGGGTAAAAAGGTGAGTAGCATGAGCTCTATATTTGCACTGTGCAGTACAGCACGGAGATGGCCAAGCTCCCCTTCTTTTCTCTGGGTGTCACTGCAGGTCCCATTAGGAACTCACCAGCTAAGAACTCGCCTCAAGTGAGGGTTTGCAGAGATGCCTGATGAGCAGATACTTGCATGATTCTGAACTCGGGCAAATCTCTAAACCCGCTCTTCTGTGATCAGTAGCATATGTTTCCCCTCTCCCCTTCACAGCACTCCAGTCTTCGCTTCACCCTCCCGGTCACTTCCTCCCGCCCCAGTTGATCTTCAGTACCCAGTGTGTGCCTTGGAAACTGCTCCCACCTCTTAGTAACCTCTTAGTTACTAACCACAGTTTCCCTGCACGCTTCATCTCAGCAGCCCCCTGGACCCTTACGGCCCAGGGGCCCTCTCTCTCCTTAACACAGTTCTTTTTAGGTTCCTAAGAGATTGCTTTTTCTAGGTTTCCTCTTATTTTTCTGGCTGCGCCTCCTCAGTCCTTCATGGGTTTCTCTTCCTTAACTTGATCCTTCCCTGGGGATGTTTCTTGGAGCTCCCTCCTTGTCCATCCTTTCCTCTCCCTTTGTGTCTCCTCTCCCCTCCCATATGGGGATGATCACATCCCTTCTCATATGGGAATCCATGACCAACAAAGCTGGGTCTGCAAATCTTGTATGTCCAGCTGCCAACCGGATATCTTTACTCACATATCCCATAGGTCCTTCAAACTAGTATCTGGCATCTTGTCAACTGTTTTTAAGTTTTATTGAGATATAATCGACATTCCATAAAATTAACCCATTTTAAGCATATAATTCAATGGTTTTTAAAATAAATTTATAGAGTTGTACAACTGTCATACAATCTAGTTTTACAACATTTCCATCATGTGGCCCCTATTTCCAGGCAACCACAGATCTAGTTTCTGTCTATAAATTTGCCTTTTCTGGCATTTCATATAGTGGAATATTACAGTATAAGGTCTTCCGTGTTGGGCTTCTTTCAGTGAGCATGTCTTTGAGGTTCATCCATGTTGTAGAATGTGTTAGTATTTTGTTTCTTTTTAATGCTGATTGGTATTTCATTGTATGACTATGCTGTAATTTGTGTTTCCAGTCATCTATTGGTGAATATTTGGATTGTTTCCAGTTTGAGGCTGTTATGAATAATGATGCTACAAACATTGGTATCCAAGTCTCTGTGAGGATATATGTTTTCAGTCTCTTAGGTATCTGCTTAGGCTTGGAATTGCTGGGTTGTGTGGTATTTTTGTTTAACTTTTTAAGAAACTGCTAAACTTATCCAAAGTGGTTGTACTATTTTACATCCCCACAGACATTTCTGTGTCTTTACCGATACTTGTTATTGTCTGTCATTTTTATTATAGCCATTAGCGGGTGTGTAGTAATAATGTCTCCTAGTTTTGATTTGTATTTATCTAATGACTAATGATGTTGAACACCTTTTCATGTGCTCATCAGCTATTCTGTGTCTTGTTTGGTGAAATAGTATTCAAATCTTTTGCCCATTCCCCCCACCCTCCCAATGCCTTTTTTTTAAGAACAGCTTTTTTTGAGATACAATTTACATGCCATGCAATTCACCCATTCAAAATGTGCAATTCAGTAATATATTGTATTCATAAGGTTGTACAACCTTCACGCCAATAAATTTTAGAACATTTTCATTACCCAAAAAGAAACCCCATACCCATTAGCAGTCACTCCCCATTTGCCGCCAATCTTTCCAGCCCTAGGCAACCACTAGTCTACTTTTTGTCTTTATGGATTTGCCAATTCTGGACATTTCATATAAATGGAATCATGCAATATATGGTTCCTTTGTGACTGGCTTCTTTCAAGGTTCATCCACGTTGTAGCATAAATCAATACTTCATTTCTTTTTACTGCTGAATAATAATCTATTGTACGGCATGGGGAATACCACGTTTTATTTATCTGTTTATCAGTTGATAAACAGTTACGTTGTTTCTACTTTTTGGCTACCACAAATGATACTGCTGTGAACATTCATGTACAAATTGCTCTTTTTTCCCCTCATACATGAGGATTAAAAAGATACTTAAATTCTGTAAGCCATTGATATGGTACACTGACTAGACTCCAGGTCTCTGGGGTGGTGAGAGTGGGCATTCTTGCCTGGTTTCCGATGTTGAGGGCTGGGGAGTACTCAAGACCAACTCTTTTCTATATTCAGTGTCTTCCTTCTGCATCTCTGTCACTTCAGTCACAAACCCAGGCATCATCTTGGATTGGACCCCTACCAATGCCCATCTGCTCGTGTCGAGCCCTGGGTGCTGTCTGCTCAGCATCTGTCACGTCGTGGTCTCCTCCCTTCTGCACACTCCCCGCTCCTTATACTACTCAATCAGTCACCCCTGTCCCTGCTCCACCTGCAGGTGGTGTCCCCACATACTTCACAGTCATCAGAGGGCTCTTTTTAAAACACATTCATCTCTGATTAAAGCTTTTAGTGACCCCTCTTGCCTCCAGGGCAGAGTCCAGTCCCCTTAAGCTGTCATCAGTTGCCTTTGGGTGACCTGGCTCCTCTCTACCTCTCTGGCCTCACCCTTTACCATCCTGCCCTGCGTGCTTGTCTGCCGAGCTCCTGCCCTCGCACCCACACTCGTGCCTCTGCGCCTCCCTTTGTCTGGAATCCCCTCTCTTTTGCTTTTTGGACTCCTAGTCATGCATCTTTCATTTACTCAGCACCCCTTTACTGACCATCTGCTCTGGGCCAGGCGCTTTGCTGGGTGCTGGGGATACTGTGCTGTCAGCGTCCCCACTTCTGTGGCGCTCAGAGCCTCGTGAGGAAGACAGTTAGATGAGCATGAGAATAAATTGTCATGAGAAGCTTTGAGTGGGGATTTACAGGGCCTTTCTGGTGCTTTTACCTCCAGGGTCTTTCACATGCATCTGTCAACGTTTATTGCTCTCTGCAAGGACAGCCCCCAGCCTCGTCTGCTCCCTCTTTCACTCTGTACTCCTGAGGGCAGGACTCGTGTCTGTTTTTCATCTTTGTATCCTCAGGCAGGTGCAGACCTGGCATACTTGTTTGTTGACTGACTCAGTGAGTGAGTGACTGAGTGGCCTCTTACTTCCATGTACCTGTGAAACTTGTGATTTGTCCTTTACTCTTCAGACACATTCTTCTGATGCTTTGGTCCTGCTTCTTGCTCTAATCGCCAGGTCTCTCTACTCCTGGGTGAACCATTCTTCACCACCAGCCTGTTGCCGTGGCACAACTTATACTTCTGGTATGTGCGGACTGCTGTGGACCAGCACCTCGGGCCTGGCGCTGTGGTGATGCCCCAGGCTGCCTCGCTGCATGCTGTGGTTGTGGAGTTCAGGGTAGGTCACCCAGAGGTTTTCACAGAAGGGGCGGGGGCAGACCTTGTTTTCCTGTGGAGCCCTTGGGTACAGATGGAGCAAATCAGGTCTTTGTGATTTGGGCTTCTGGTTGTATGTATTAGCACACTGCAGGGTTGAATAGAAGAGGCTTATCTTTTTAAAAATGCAGTAATTTGACACATGAAATGGAATTGGCTGTGTGTTGTCATTTTACAATATAGCTTATCAGAATAATTAAAACATATAAATTAAGAGTTTCAGAAGACATGCTGTGCAACTTGCTCTGCTCTCATTAAGAGCCAAGGCTCCAGTTGTTAAAAGCATTTTGAGATGGAAGAGTCAGCTTCTTTATGCAAGAGAAAATTGAAAAGCTTCATTTTAATTTTCTCATCAAAGTTGAACCACAGTCACAAAGTCTTTTTGGGAAAGGCATTTTTTTTTTATTAAAAGGATTTTGAGGGCTGGCCGAGTGGCGCATTGGTTAAGAGTTGGCTTGGGACGCCAGCTCTGAGCAGCAGGGCCCCGGTTCATATCCCACATTAGGGCCAGTGACGCTGTGCCCTCTACAGCTAGGATGAACAACAGCTCAACATGGAGCTGGGCTGCCGTGAGTCGCTGGCGACGGCGCAGGCTACAGTGGAGCTGCAGTGGGCTGCCATAAGCTACCGTGAGCGGCCGGCAGCCAGCGTGAGCTGCCAAGAGCCGCCGTGAGCGGCCGTCCAGTGGCCGGTGACCGATCTTCCTCACCTGGGAAGAGCGTAATGATAATACCAACATGGCCCAGTGAAGCGACGTCCTCCACAACTAGACTGAAGAACAAAAGGACAGCAACTTGTCTGTTCCCCTCCCCCAATTCCTCAATTTAAAAAAAAATGGATTTTGAAATGCTTTTAACCTGAAATGTAGAGTGAACCTCATTTGATATTTCCTTCATAAGACTGGCTTTGTCCATTGGTATGTTAGTGGCCCCATCTAAATTTTCTGACCATTTCTTCTGTTATTTATTTACCTGATGAGATTTCAACATTAGTTTTGGTTTTCATGGCCAAAGAGGGACTGTGGAGAGCCACGCTTGTTTCCAGGCATATATCCAGGAGACAGTATGCAAAGTCTACTGGCCCGAGTGCTCTGGTCCCCTCCCTCCATCGCCCTCACTCTGTTGACAGGTGCAGAGCCTTGAGAACTGGTTTATAGATTCTTCCTAAAGAAAATGGTGTTAGGTTGGACAGGGAGTAAGACACCCCAGCTTCGTAGCTTTTGTCCTTTTGTAGGAGAGGACTTGGGGGTCATGTGTGACTTGGCAGACTCACAGAACTGTCCTGAATTTTTTGTATTTCTGAGTCCCTTCAACCTTGGCGGGCCTCTTCTAGGCATGTGGGAATAGCAAGACGTTCCTCAGGTTTGGGGCTGGGACCACTGCAGCTTGACTTCACTGATCCTTCTTGATCTTGTTGCCACACTTCCCCTGTGGCCCCGGGTGGGTGTGGACATCAGTGTGCCCTGGCCGGTGGGTGTTGACGGAGCCTGTGTCTTCCTCACAGGACCTATGGCGGGTCCGGAGCCCCTGTGGCAACTGTGAAGGCTTTGATGTGCACATCATGGATGACATGATCAAGGTAGGTAGGGCCACAGCTCCCACCAACAGGGTCCCACGCACCCACTCCACATGGCCACAGGCCTATGACAGGGACACCTGGCTTCCATGGAGAGTTGTGTGAGCAGCGTGTTGGGGGCTGCAAGAGCCCGTGTGTCTATTTTACTTAGTTCACCATGAACATGAGTCTTAGAACCATTGTGTCTCAAAGTCTGTACTAGGCTATTCTTGGCCCTGACCTGTAACGCCTAAAATCAGAATCTCAGGCTGGGCCATGTCTGTCACCACGCCACTGGAACTACTCCTGCCAGTGTCAGCAGCTTTTCTGTGTTGGGATAGCCTTTCTAGAAGGCAGTTTGGTAACTTTCTGAGGCAGCCATTTTCATTTTGGTGACTCCTGAAGAGGCATGGGGAGGGATGTGGAAGGATGGTCCTGCAGGGCTATTTGTACATCAGGGGATTGAGTCAGATACCAGGGTCTGCATTCCCTAGAATCGAGGGATGTCATGAGCGTGCCAGTGATGTTTGGGTCTATGAGGATTGAGGTAGAGTCATGATACATCCATGTGAGTAGGGCAGGGCAAGGAACAGGACCCCATCTTATGTATTAAGAAAATTCACACATACGCACAGGGAAAAGGGGTGGAATAGTGGATACCAGAATATTAGTTGTATGATTAGGAAGTAGTTAACTTTTTCTCCTTTTACTTACCTTTCTGTAGTGATTGGGGATTGCCTGTGTAAACATTTTTTTAAGTAAATAAACCCAATGGATATTTTCCATTTGCATTTTACCTGCCCCCCCACAGCTGACCACTGACTGTTCCATGCTTCTAGACATCCCCTTTTTGCTGAGTCCCCACACTAGCTCCCTCTGGCCACTCCTAAGGCTCCTTCTTGGACTCTCCCATCCTTCCCGTCCCCTAAGGTGTCATGTGCTCTAGGTCTCCCTCAGGCCCCTGCCCTTACTGTCCCCTCTCTGTTGCTGGCCAATGTCTGCATCTGTCCTGAGCTCAAACCAAATAACTAAGAGTGGCGGACACTCCACTGAGATGTCTGTCCCCAGGCAGTCTGACCTTGATGTTTCCAAAATCTATTGTGCTCTCCCCGGCCTGGCTTCTCCAGTGTTCCTGTCTTAGGCCTGCCACCATGTCATACCCAAATGCTGGGCTTAGGGCCTGGGCATCCCCCCAGGCACGTCTTCACCGTCACTTGCAGTTGATCATCAGGTTCCATAACCATCAGGTCATCAGCAAACCTCAAATCCAGTTTTCTTCCCCTGCTGCTGCTCTTCTGGTCTGGGTCTCTTCGTCTCTTGCCTGTGACCATACAGCCTCCTGCCTCTCCTGCTTGGCCATCCTCCACCTGGAGCCCAAGTAAACCTGTAGATTCTGAGTCTGGCTCTGTCTGTTCCCTTCAGAAAAACCCTGTGAGGCTTCCTGCCCACCTCCCCTGCTAAGTCAGCCCTGCAGTCACTGACCTCTGCCACTCAGCCCACCCTGGGCTGCTTTCTGTGCCTTTTCCCTGCTTAGCTTTATCCATTCTCCTTGCTGCCAACTCCTGTGAGATCTTCAGGAGGCAGCCCAGAGGTTACCCCAGACAGCTTTCTTGCCCAGCCCTGCCCCGCCTCTGCAGGAGGTTAGTGCTCCCCAGACACCGAGATTGCTGGTCTCTGCGTTGTCTCCCTCTAGAGTGGGAGCCTTGTGTGGTGGTGATCTGGCAGCTATAGTGCTCAGTGAGGATCACCGAATGGGCAAGTCTCCAAGCACCAGATGTCACCAATGTAGACATTTGATCCACAAAGTAGCTCGTGAGATGGGCAGTGTCATTTCATTTTAAAAAGGGGGGAAATGAGGCTTAGAGAGGTGAAGTGACTTGCTGGGGAGATGGCTTGTGAGTGGCAGCAGAAAACAGATGTCAGTTGCTCTGATCGAGGCATCTGGGGTCTTTCTGTAAGGACCCACTGCCCCATGTGACTGGCAGTTACCCTGTGGGACCTGGGCAATGGAGATGACAGGCCGCTGGCATAGACCCTGAAGATGGGGACGTGAGCGCCTTGTCCCCTGGGCTTCCCAGTTCTGTCTCTGCAGACCCCCGAATCCCCTTCTCTTCTCAGTGTGCCCTGGACTTCAGGGAGAGCAAGGAAGCCGAGCCCCACCCGCTGTGGGAGTACCCATGCCGCAGCCTCTCTGAACCCCAGCAGATCCTGACCTTTGATTTTCAGCAACCAGTTCCCCCACAGCCTCTCCGTGCTGAGGGCTCAATTAAGCTTAGCAGGTGAGTCGTTCCTCCTGGCGGGGAGGCAGGGGGCAGGGGCATGGAGGAAGGAAGTGGCTGGGGACCCTGCTTTCTAATTGTTACTGCCCAAGTGGCTAGCCACTTCCTTTGGCCACTTTCACACGGGTGGGATGGCCCGCCTTGTCTCAGCTTTGCCCTTCCTGGTCTGAAGTGGCCCTGACTGTATAGTGGGTCCCCACAGCCTCTGGGTGTGTGTAAGTAGGGAGGCAGTGCCAGAGTGGGCTTCGCTCTTCCCCCCACATCTGAGGCTCCCTTTGAGCTAAGCAGCATGTTGGATCAGAGCTGCAGAGAAATGTGAATTTGGTTGCTATGGTTACCCACTGGGCATTTTCTTGAGCTCCTGGGAATTAAAGCAGGTAGGAATTGGCGAGGCAAGGTCAAGTGCATCCAGCTCCAACTCCCTTCATGGGGAGGAGCTGCTGCTTCCCAGAGAAAGAATGCCTCCTGACTGGGTGGAGGCCCTGAGCCCAGAGCCCCTCCTTTGACAAGGGGGAGGCAGGGCAGATACCCATCTGTCTGCCATCCAAGATATCTGGGAGGGGTCTTCCAGCCCTTGGTGCCAGGGCTATGCTCTGAGCCTTCTGGACCAAGCCTTCCTGCTGCTTCAGGCCGAGGAGGCTGGTCCTCTGGCTGAGCTGGTGCTGCCCCACGGTTACTCTCGAGTGCTTGCCAGGCTGTGAGGAGTCAGTGGGGGCTTTGGGTTGTGGCTCTTCTCACTCTGCATTTTACCAAGTGGCCTCCAGTCAGGTGGAGTGTTAGGAACCTCCTGACTGGGTAGGATGGAAGAAGGGAAGACCAGAGTTTTCTGGAAAGCAGAAGGGAGCCATGCTCTGCCTGCCTGTCTCTTGTGGTGCCGTTTCTGTTTGGCCCAACATGCCCCTCCACCCTCCCAACTCTACAGGCCCGGGAGGAGCCACGGGGCCGTCCTGTGGATGGAATACCACCTGACCCCAGGTAGCACGATCAGCACCGGCCTCCTGAAGCCTGCAGAGGACAAGGTAGTGCTTTTTGCACCGACCCCAGAGCTGGTTGATCCTGAGCAGGCGCTGCTGAGGGGAGGCCCTGTTACCCAATGTGCTCGGGGGATTCCTGGCACACGTTCAGCCAGATGATAACCCCTCAGTGGCCCTGGATACGTGGCCCTGAGCAGCAGCTTCCTGCTTCGAGCTGCCTAGTGGGGAGGCTGACCAGGAGGGGGCTTGGCTTCCGGGAGCCTTCACTGCCTTCTGTTGCTCTTTCCGCAGGAGGACTGTTGCTGGAACCCACACTGCAAGCAGGCCGTGTACTTCTTCAGCACCACGCTGGACCCTAGAGAGCTGCTGGGCAGCCCTCAGACAGTCAGCTATGTTGTGGAGTTCCAGCCCCACACTGGAGATGTCACCATGGATTTCACGCTTGCAGACGCCCTGGACGATGGGCACTGACCCTCACTTGTTGAGAAATAAAGTGGACTGAGAGGCTCCAGGCTCTGAATGGTGTGACTTTCTGGGAAGGAAGATGAAGCCACCTCTGTTTTCAGGGCCCAGCTTGGCCTCTGGATGCGGAGACGTCTTCCTTTGCATTTTTGCACTGTCAGCTCCTTGCTCCAGATGTGGTGGGCAGCATGGGCGCTGGCTGAATTTGGAGCCTAGGAGAGGCCAGGGAGCCCACCCTGCAGTGGTTCTGAAGTGCTCAGAAAGCCTTAAAGCTTCACAACCACTGCTCTGGGTCGCATGGTGCCAAGCCATGGTGGTCGCTGGCCCGGCTTGTGCTCTGGGAACTTCTGCCTGGCCCCAGCTAGGAGGGGCTTTAAGGGGTGGAGATGCCTGCCAACTTATGGCTGGGCCCTGGGCCTTAAAAACCCGAGGAAGTCCAGGCCGAGGATGGGGTTCTTGCCCTTTCACTCACTGGGTAATGTAACCGAGCCACATTTATAAGCACCTGGCCTCTGCAGCACCAGCAGATGACCAAGACCGGACAACCAGACACCAGGATGCTGTTCAGAGGGCAGGGAGGAGGCCGTCCCACTGAGATACAGACCCAGGAAACCAGCCATCAGGAGAGGAAGCCAGGAGGTACAGCCTTTCCCCATGTGCCCCCTTCCAGCAGAAGGACTTCCCACCACCTCAAGTCTGGGGCAGATGGGTACAGTGCAGCCACCCCAGCCCTGGCCTCGCCAGGGAGGCCCGCGAGTCCCGAGAAGGCCCCAGCCTTGCTCCCCCAAAGCCCCGCCTGGCTGCCCAGCCCTGGGCTTGGAGTTGGAGCAGGGCCTGGCCCCATCTTGTAGCTCAAATAAGTGGAGAACACCAGCCTTGAGCCTCACAGTTTTATTTTCTCCTCATGATCCATCCTTCCTTTCAGCACCAGTAAAGGAGAAAAATCTCTCTTTTCAAAATATTTTATCAGGTGAAAGATAGTTTTTCTTCTAGGGAAGAATCGTCTTGATATATATTTGATAATGTTTTTACCAAAACCTTAGGTGTGCTTACCATATAAAACCCCTAATGTCCCATGAGGATATATAATACAGAAAAAAATACAGAAATTAAAAAAGTTTTTTTTTTCTTTTTTAAAACAGTATTTCTAAATCTCAGCAAGTTAATACAATAGTTAAAAAGCATCAAGATTAATATTCATACTTAAAACTCAAGGTGGTTTGGACAAATGAAAATGACCATTTCCTTCTGAAGCTGACCCGGCCTCCTGGCTTCTCTGAAGGAGGCCGGGTGCAGGGCAGGTATGGGACCTTGGTTGGGGATTTGGGTGACCCCTGTGTTCGCCCCTCTCAGGCCAAACACCCCAGAATCTGAGATCCTGGCAGTTTCTTTTCTTCCTTTTTTAAAAATTAAAATGGAAAAGTCTGGCTTGTGCACAGCCCCGGGAGTCCACAGGCCTGAAACGTGGTTGGGCGATAGCAGCCTCAGTGCTGAGGCTGTGCCCGAGGGAGGTGCAGGGGGAGCTCGGAGGTGATGCTCCAGGGCCAGGCTGGGCAGAGGCTACCTTGTTAGGAAAGGAAGTGACTGAGGCACAGGGAGGTATGACGCCTAAGGCCGCCCTGTGAGTAGGGAGAGAAACACGCGCCCCTGCGCCGTGGCTCCCACCCAGCTTCCCTGGGAGTGGGGCAGCCCCTTGGAGGGCTGAAAGCTGTGTGGAGTTTCTCTGCTTCAGGCCCTGGCCCCTGTCTCCACTGCTCTCCTGGGCACACAGCCGACTTGCAGCTTGGGGTCCTTGGCTCAGGCCTGGCTATCTAGGCATTGCGCCTGCTCAGTTGGGCCCTGCCTGTTGGAGCAGAGATTCTGGCTGTTCTTGCAAGTGGAGGGCCCTCTGACTCCACGAAGCCTAGCTAAGGCCCTGAAGGCCAGGCCCTTGGAGGAGGGGCACAGCAGAGAGCCCAGGTGGGACTGCCCTCAGTGGTGACTGCCCCTTCTGGATCTGGGCCTGAGGGGCGGGGTTGGGGCCTGGCCAGGGAAGCGCTCCTGGCAGCTAAGCCCTCAGCTCTGCCACTGACTGCCCCAGCCAGGTGGGTTCAGACAAACTAGTGCCACTGTGGATGTGACTCTCAGGAGTGTCCTCTCCCAGCACAGGGCCTGGCCTCTGGCTAGCTGCTTGCCTGGTCCCAGCTTGGTCTCCCTTGCAGCTCAGTTGGTGACAAGGCACAGTGTCAGCTCACCGGCACCAGAGGGGTCCTGGTATGCTCCCCAGTCTCACTGGGCAAAGCTGGCTCCGAGACGGGCACAGGTTAGGGTACTGTGAAGAGGGGAGATCAGTGGGGGTTGTCAAGAACAGTCCCCCAAGTTGGGGGAGCCTCCCACCTGGAAACAGACACAACCCTCCCTGTGTGACTGTGGGAGCATCCCTAGGTGTGTTTTAAAAGGCAGGTGGGCAGAGGCAGTCCTGCTGTGGGGTGGTGAGCTATAGGTCTCACCTGCAGGCTCTGCTACACCGTGCCTGGGTGCCAGGGGCTGGCCCTGGTCACATAGTGGCAGAGTGGGTGTCTGTGCGCCTGGATGCTAACCAGTATCACTCCCTGCCCTGTGTAAGCAGTGGCCCTTGGCCTTGCCACCTCCAGCCTGTGTGCATACTGGTGAGGGTGAGGGGATAGGCCGCTCTCTACGCTTGGGCCTCCTGCTGAGCTGCAGCTCCACTCAGTGGCAGGCAGACAGTTCCTGAGCTCAGCGAGCATGTGAATGGGGACAGTCCTCAGGGAAAGATTGGTCCAGAACCAGAGAGGTGTCTGAAGGGGAGACAGGATCAGGCAAAAAGAGGAGGTGTTGGTTTTGACAGAAGAAAAGCTACAAATCTATCCTTTTCAAAACCAGCAGTACCCCTTCTCCCATATGTTGTGAGTTCCCTTCTTCCTATAGAAAAGTGGTGCTCTCTCAGCTTCCTGTCTGTGGCTCCACTACCCACTTAGGAGTCTCTGGGGCCCTGGTGCGCCCGGAAGGGAGCCTGTCTCAAGAACAGCAGCGTTGTCCCTCGCCGCGTGCAGATCCTCTAACGTGAAGGGTTGTTTCTGTTCTTAAAATGTAATCGCCCTTTAATGGAAGAGCCCGGGCTCATGGTGACTGGACACAGTCCTCCGGTCCCTGCTCGTGAGCCATCCTGGTGGAGGCGGCAAGCTAGCGGCCCTGTGCCCAGGAATGCTTCTTTGGCTGGTTCTGATTGTGTTTGGAGTTTGGCCTTGGGTGAGGCCCGAGTGAGGGGGTCTGTGTGGCTACGGCGTGGCACGTGGCATGCGGGCAGCGTGCATGCGAGGGTGCAGGCGTGCGAGACAACATGGCAGCAGACAAAAATAATGAACCCTGGATGAAGCTTGAGAAGAGATACAAAGAGTACAGAAACCCGGTTCTCATACTAACCCACGGGTTACAAACTAGGTTGTGCTGTAGATTTGTAGAAAATCACGGTTTGAAAGAATGGCACTGGTTGGGCAGCTGGGGCTCCCCGGGCTGACCTGACTCCTCTGTCCGTGGTGAGTGCCCAGAGGTACAGGGCAGTATTGGTTCCAGCTCACCCAGGGATAACCTTGGCTCCCCTAGGCCCCTGCCCTCCTCTCTGGCACCGCTGCTGGAGGCGACATGGCTAAGGAGGCTCAAAGGGCTAGCAGAGGCCGGGCTGCTGTGATGACTTGGCTGGTCTATGCCTCCTCCTCCCCGGTAGACACCATCAGCCGCATGGCCACTGGGAGGTGGTCGGTCAGGCCGGAGAGCTGGGTGATAAAACTGAATTCTTCCACCTCCTAAGGTTGTGGGGAAGAGAAGCATCCTGATTAGAGCCAAAAGGCACTGCAGAGGAGGGGCCTGGAGGGCAGGGGTGGGGCCTCTGGGCTTGGGCTGGCCTGGTCTTCCTGAGGGCAGAGGGGGCGGGAGGATCCTGAGGGCCCCAAAGATCCCTAGGAATGGTGGGTCTGATTTTCAGAAGCGGGCTTGGTGCTGTTGAGGGGGGCAGGGTGCAGGGTCCCCTACCTACAGGCGTAGCCTGGCTGCCATGCCCAGCCCCAGACTCACGGCCTTCCAGTCCAGGCACAGCCCCTCCTCTCCGTACAGCATGTAGTCGATGCGCCTGCCGTTGCCCTTGAGCGCGTCCTTGCGTCCCTTCTGGTATGCTCCTGGGCTCTTGCTGGTGGGGAAGGCGAGGTACTCCCTGCGGCCTTCCTCGCTCTCCAAAACCCTGCTCACACAGACAGGAAGGCAAGGTGAGCCCCCAGGCCCCACGACCTGAGGGTGGAGCCATGTTCTCATCCCCCAGTGAGAGAAGCAGGTTAAACCAAACCTTTGCATTTAACATAGATCTTCCCTGTAGGCCCAAAAAGGGACTGGGATGGAGGGAAACTGAGTCTGAGGCTGCAGTTTCTCTACTGAACTGGGCCACACTAGAGTCTGTCCAGGAATGTCCCATGTCCACGTTGAGCTGGCCAGCACTCGCTTTCCCTTTGAACAAGGTTGTTGGCTGTGGCTGCAGCTTAGATCCAGTGCTGCCCAGTCTGTGGCCAAGGTGGGGACAGAACATGCTCTGTGGAATGGGTTTCTGCTCTGAGCCAGCAGGGGCCTGTGCAGAGGGAACTTGGTATTTGAAGTGAACCTCAGAGACCCTTCTCTTCTGGAAGTCCCCAGAAACCCGTGACTTGTTTCAGGTCAGCAGGGGTTGGAGGGGCTAGGAGAGCACTCAGGTCCCATCCCAGGACTGTCCCTGAGCAGCTGTTACCAAACCTGTGAGCCTCCATTTCCTCCTCTGATTGTCCCTAGGACACCGAAGACCAGGTGCTCCAAGAAAGAACAATGTGGGCTGTGGCTGTTATCCTATCCCTCAAAGGAAGAAAACGGACTTGGGTGCCTAAGTGCTGGCCAAGGTTCTATAGGACGACAGGGTGCTTAGGTGGGGTGTTACACCCTGAATCTGGGTCTTCTAACTCCCTGTCTGCCGTCTCCTTCCTTCCACGGCGGAAACTCCGCCGTTTCCACGGAAACTCCGCCGTTTCCGCGGAGTCCAAGCACCAGTGGGGAGGAGCCAAGCACCATGGGAGACTGTCGCAGAGGGCGGGTGCAGGCTGATGTCAAGGGCAGAGTAGCAGCCACTACACAGGCCTGACAGGCTGGCTAATGCCTGGATAGATGGAACGGGTGCCTGGACAGGCACAGCCAGCAAACACGGGTTTCTACAAGGTCTTTAACCACTTTGAGATAAATATACTAAGACATGCAGAACATCAGTACATCTCAGAAATATAATCCATTACTGTCCTTTGCCTTTGATAATTAATTCCAGCATCAGTGATCTGAGAGTTACTGATAGTCATTTTTTAATCATCATCTCATAAAAAGATAATTTTCTCGGCATAGGATGATGTTTCAAATTTAGTCTGTAATCTAATTAATTGGCTCAAATTAGCTGCAAGGAGCCATTGCCGTGACTCTCTGCAGTCTCGGGCTGTGAATTATAAATTGGTTCTGCTGCTGGCCACTTAAATGTGTCCTTTATGGAAGTGTCATCAGGTTCAAGAATGAAGTTTGGTTGGGATGGAGCTGTCTCTACTTTGAAAATGACCAGCTTATAATAGCTGTGCTGGTTTTTTTGTTTGTTTGTTTTTTAAGATTTTACTGGGGAATCGGGGAAGGGGAACAGACAAGTTGCTGTCCTTTTGTTCTTCAGTCTAGTAGTGGAGGATGTCGCTTCACTGGCCCATGTTGGTATCATCATTGCGCTCTTCCCTGGTGAGGCAGTTGCTTGCCAGCCATTGGATGGCTGCTCACGGTGGCTCACGGCAGCTCACGAAAGCTTACGCTTGGTGCTGGCCAGCCCCACTGCAGCCTACGCCGTCACCAGAGACTCACGGCAGCCCAGCTCCAGGTCGAGCTGTTGTTCACCATCTTAGCTGTAGAGGGCGCAGCATCACTGGTCCTCACGTGGGATCCGAACCGGGACCCTGCTGCTCAGAGCTGGTGTCCCAAGCCAGCTCTTAACCAACGTGCCACTCGGCCGGCCCAGCTGTGCTGTATTTTTATTTGCATAGTTGGTGGCCACCACCTGCCAGGCTCCCTGGGGGCAAGTGCCATCCCCAGGGCTCTTTGACAGGATTCTCAACAGCCCTCAGCCTTGCCCTGGGGAATTCTGGTCCCTTTTCCTGTGCCCGGCTGGTCCCCAAGGCAGGCTCTTGTAGAGTGAGCCAGGACTCCAGATGCTGGTGTAGGAAAGGCCACCTCAGGACACCAGGCCTACTTGGGGGCTTCTCAATAAGGCCAGTCCCTGGAGCAAGAGGGCCGCCACAACCTCTACCTGCCCCCAGCTTCTGTCCCCAAGGCTCTCAGGCTTCCTTCTCACAGAGCCATGTTCTCGCCTCTGCCCCACACAACCATCTCCCTATAGCTGAGTCAGGGCTGGGTGCTCAGCCCAGATCCGGGAGCTGCCCACCCCATCGCAGCTAGCTGGGTGCTTACTTTTGCAGATTGTCAGGGGTGCTCACGTCCTCATCATTGAGGCCATCTGTGTCCAGCAAGGTACCTAGGGATGAGGGAGTGAGACTGGTCACTACAGGTAGGGCACAGCCAGCCTCGAGGAGGGCCACCTGGAGCAGGAGGGACAGGTGAGGGCATCTGCTAGCCTGTATGTCCCAACCCCCCCAGAAGTGGGGTCTTGGGGGCAGGTCTTGGAGGTTTCTCTGGGAAGCCTGTGGGGAGTCCAGCCTTGGTGCAGGGTCAGGTCTCAGCACAGTGATCTCAGAAAGTGGCAGCGCCTCTCCCTTGCCCTAGTTCCCCAGCATCCCACAACCCTCTCCCCAGCTCACCGATTGCCCATGGCTTCTCCTCCCCTGGCCCCAGGCGGCAGGGGTCCTTGTAGCGTGTAAACAGGGAGTGCTGCTGCTCCAGCTTGTCATCTGTACAGGGAGGGAGGGAGGGAATGCTGAGGGTCTCGGGGTGTCTGGCCTGTCCTGGAGCACCACCTGCCTCTGGTCCTTGTCCAAATGCCACCAGGTCCCTGTCCCTCAGATATCCCTTTGTGGTTCATCTGTCTGGTTTTCTGTGTCCTTGAGAAGCCCCCCCCCCCCTCTAGTGTTCAGCTTTCCTTTGGTCTGAGGACAGTAGTCACTGTCCCTCTTGGGCTGCAGGGGACAGTGATCTCAAGGCCTTCCCAGATCCTGTGACAAACCCTGTGGAAGTTTGGCTGATGCTGCCCCAGCTGGGACTCCTGCCCTTCAAAGGCCTAGGTGTCTAGGTTCAGTGTGAGGAATGACCCCAGGCTCAGAGAAGGAGGTGACCTGTCCTGGGTTCCAGTTTATCCTGCCAGTTCATGAAGCCAGAAGGGCCTTTCTGAGATCCCAGGGAGGAAGACCAGGGCACTGAGTGGGGCCTGACTGGGTGGAGCTCCTCCTGACAGCCTCTTATGTGCTGGGTCCCCACCTGGACTCAGGAAGATCCTGGGAGCACCCAGCATCTGGACCTGGAATCAGGCATGTGACAGGGTTCCACAAGGTTGCAGTGCAGGGACTGTGTTCCCCATGTTGGGCACCTTCCTCCCCACCCTTGAGTTGCCACCATTGTCAAGGGATGCCTCCCTGGTCACAAACAGAAACAGCTGCCACTAGGTGAGGGCACCACCCTGTGCTCCAGGTGGGACCTTCAGGTTTCTGCCTTCCCTGCGGGGTAGAGCCCAAGCTCACAGACCCCATATTGTCCACCGATCCTCAGTTTCTCCTGGGCTGTGGCCAGAGTGGGAAAAGCCCAGGAGCCATGGGCTGGGGGGGTTTTCCTTGAGCCCAGGTCCTCGAACCAAGGGAGGCTCAGGGCGGCCCACTCCCAGGATGTCCCTAGGATGAGCATGGTCATCTGATTCAGAGATCAGTTATTTACATCAATTATTTGAAATTTCACCCATGATGAACTTTTAGCCTGTTAACCCAGTGGTTTAAGGTATGATTTCCTGGGTTCAAATTCCAATTCTACCACTCTGGCTATGTGACCTTGGACTAGTTACTCCACCTCTCTGGGTCTCATCTTCCTCTTCATACCATGTGGATAAATACAGTGCCCACTCTTAAGGTTGTCATGAGACTTGAATGACACAGTTAGCCCATGAACAGCCATTAGAGTTGTGCCTGGTGCAAAGTAAGAGCTGAATAAAGGCTTGGTGAGCGGCGTTAGCCGACTCGTCCTTACTCTGAGTTTCAGAGGCTCCAAGTCTTCCCTGTCAGAGGTTCATTTTTAGGGCACCTCTTTGTCTCCAGCAAGCAGGCCTCTGAGCTTTCTAGGCAGAGCGTGGGCGCGTCTCATTTTAGAATTTCCAGGGGGCAGAGAAATCAGTCTGCTGATATCCCACCCACATGCTCACAAGACACAGGAAGTTCTTTAAGCTGCCTAACTTAAGTCTTGCCAGCTGTGACTGGAGCCCCCACCCTTGCCCAGCGGCTGACCCCAATAGGGAGGAACCTGGCCTCACCAGAGGAGCAGTTGTCAAAGTTCAGATCTCCACAGATGATGTCAAACGCCACCAGCTCCTCGGGGTTGGCTGTGCTGGACGAGGAGGTAGATTTTCGGAAATCAGCCAGCCAGTCCAGAAGCATGTCCAGCTGCTCACACCGGATGGCACTGTCATCTGCAGGGCAGAACCACAGAGACCCAATGATGAAGCTGCAGCCAGACCTCAGCCAGGCCCGGCAGATCCCAACCCGCTTGGGGAAGATCCCTCAGCCCCAGAAAAGCTCAGGCCGCCGGACCCTACCTTCCAGGGCGTGCAGGTGTGTGCAGGTGATGTACCCGACAATTCTTTGGTCCTGAAGTGTGCTTCCCACCTGCACCTGTGGGGTAGGAGGCGAGGTGTTGGTGATGAAGCCTGTGCTCTGAGTACAAAGGGAAACTGGCGGTGCCCATCTCACGCCAGGTCAAACCCTCACAAGCCCAGTTCTGTCAGCTCCTGCCTGGCTAGACTTGGACCCAGGTGGGAACAGCAAATATCCAGCTTCTAGGTGCTTCTGGTTCAGTGCAGGAGGCAGGTGCATAAAGAACTTCCAGTCTATATCATGGTGAGTTCCACCTGGTTTTACAGGACAAATGCAGAAATCATCGATTTCTGCCCCAAATCCGTGCCCTCCCCTGGTGACCAGAGTGTGCCAGCCCCTCAGTTCCCTGTCCACTCCTCTCTGGTGGCTCTTTCCTCCTTCCCTCAGTCACACCCTAGACCCGATTGCACCCCAGAGCCCATCCCTCTGAAGTTTAAGTTGGGCTTTCCTGGGGCTTTGGCCCAGCTGCACACTCACCACCCTCTCTTCACTGTGAGAGGCCTAGGACTCTGCCCTCTGCTCTCTCTCCCCAGTCTCTGCCCCTCTGGCTTCATGAGAAGTCACATCATCTTTGGCCATGGTCCATTAATCCCCTGATCTAGGACAACAGTTGTGGCCTGTGTTTCTGTATCACCTTGTCATGGGCTGGCCCGGGTGCCCCACGGCCTCCATCCCAAACCCAGTCCTTCCTCCACAGTGGCCCCTTCATTCTTCACTCTCCCCAGACCTCAGTCCCCACCTCCTGCTCACCCGTTTTCTGGAGACAGAGTACCCAGGGGGTAGAGTGGGGCTGAGGGCACTTCCCCAACTCCCTGCCCAACTGCAGATGACCCTGGCAGGCCGTCTCCACAGCTTAGTGTCATGAAAACAAGCATCTAAATCGTACATCACAGACAACTCCAAACAGCCTGATGCAGGCCTGAGCCCTTGTCAGGGTTGTAGATGGGGAGGCGAGGGGTGACCACCCAGCCTGCTGTCTCTCCCAGGCCCTCAGGCCACAGCACAGCTGCTGGACGCCAAGATAGGCGAGTCCCTTCCAGGCATGCTCCCTGGGACCGCCTGTGGGCACCTTTTCCCACAGGCTTCTGGTTGGCTCTTCATCCTCTTCCTCTCTGGGCTTTCCTGCCACCTGAGCCTCAGCTGTCTTCCCCAAAGTTAGCTAATCCATTCCAGACTGAGTTTTCTATGATAACAGCACCCTAGGCCCTGGGAACTCTCCGCAGAAGGTGACTGTAGAGCCAGGTCTACAGGTCATGCAGCAGTAGGGTGGCTGTACAGGTATCTGCCGAGCATGACACTGCTTGTCCTCCAACTAAGAGTGGCCTGGACTTGGTGCCGCTGTGTCATGGACCCTCCACTCTGAAGACCATGGAGGCTTCCATCTTGCTTTCTGCTGCCAAAGTCAGGTTAGCATTACCCTCTCCCATTAAATGCTCTTAGCTTTCTGCAGCTCCTTATCTCCTTTCCCAGCTGGATGTTTGTGTATCTCTCCTTTCTCAGCACCCGAGGGGATGCATGTCTGGTTACTTGATAATGGGCTACACAGCCTGGATTTGGGGCTGTTTATAAACTCACATGTTCACCTTTCACTTCTTACCCATATTCCAGACCCAAACCTCAGTCTAATGCTGCCCCCGCCCCTGGCACGGCTCTGGAAATGACATACCATTGGTGTACCCTGTTGCAAAAACACAGCCGTTTTAAAGCCACAGTGCCGCGTGGCCACACGATGGCGCTCTTGCCCGTGTGCCTCAGGCAATGCATGCCTTTTCCCTCTATAATAAGCGTGCTGTGAGCACTCCTGCTTAGTGTCTCACAGATGCTGCCTTGCTAGAGCCTTACAACAATTGTGAGGGTTATACTAAAACTATGCCGTAATTGCCTAGGGTCATGAGTCTCCGAAGGCTGAGGCTGGTTGAAGTCAGATGTTTGCTGCCCCCTCCCACCTCCTCGCCCAGCTTTGCGCTCCTTTTTGGAGTTCCTGATGACAGCCAGGCTTTTCACTGACTGAGCCTTTGATGGTCTTAGAGCTTCAGCCCCCGACTCCCTCAACACCTGGTGGCACCTGCCTGTGCTGAGAGGCACCACTCGGCCCTGCTGCCGCTGAGAACCCATCCAGAGGGGGCACAGGGCAGGGCCACCTGCCTCTCCCTCAGCCCTTCCTCCCGGTGTCTCAGCCCCTCACCCACTTCCTCGCTCAGTCAGCCTGTGAACTCGCAGAGATCCACTTGATTATGTGCTGGGACTTATTGATTCCTGGCTCTAGTCCTCAGGAGCTGCAGAGGCTTGTGTTTCTCTTGCAAAAACAAACAATCACACTGAGAGGTTGTGCCTCTTAGTCCTGGTAGGCAAAGACTGTCAATAACCAGGGGCCCAGAGGCAGGCTGTCTCATATGTGAGGCAAAAGAGATTCATGGTAGCAGGAAAGCACGTTTTCCTTGAGGATTGGAAGTGCCACAGGGTAAATTGGAGAGCAGGGCTGGACAGGGGAGCCCTGCCAATGAAGGGGGCACCGGCTTCCATGTGCAGCCAGGGCAGCCTCTTTCCAGCCCCGGGCCCCTTCCTGGGCCAGTCTGTCTCCGGAAACCCCTTTTGTTTCACTCCATGCAGGAGAAATAGGCTCATTAGCCTCCATCAGAGTCAAGCTGGGTCTGCTGTGTCAGGCACAACCGGCTCCATTCTTGAGTTCTGACAGGAGGGACAGGTGACAAGACACCTGGGGACAAGGGCTGAGGAATCCATAAAGGAAAAGCTGGCTTGTGTGGACAGCTACTGAGGAAAGCTCCACAGAGATGGTGAGATCAACCTGGGTGGGACCATGACAAGGGGAGCCAGGCCATGGAGGCCTTTGGGGGTACGGTGCAACTGGAGCAGAGCCCAGGGGGGTAATGGAGAGACCCAAAGAAGGCTGAGCTTCTCCCCGAAGCAGCGGAAAGGGGGTCACAGGAGTCAGACCTGGGACGGGAAGCAGATGGGTTGGAAGGGAGAGGACATCTAAAAAAACAGTGGGGTAGGGCCGGCTGAGTGGCTCAGTTGGTTAAGAGCTCGCTCAAGAGTTTGAGCTCTGAGCAACAGCGGTTCGAGTCAGCCCGAGCTGAGCAGCCGTGAGCTGCCAACAGGTGGCGGGATGGCTCAGCTAAAAAAAAATAAAAAAATAAAAAAAAATAAAAAATAAAAAAATAAAAAAACAGTGGGGTAGATGCAGGGACAGTGGCCATGATAGTGTGGCTGGAGACATGGGTGGGACTCCGAGGTATTTGGGAAATGAAATTAGGAGTCTGGATGGATTGGATGGGCTCAGGGCACAGAGAGGAGTCAAGGGGAGCCGTTTTGACTGAGGGATGATGGGACATCGGGGAGGGGCAGGACCAGGGAAGATGATGAGCTATGCTGAGGAGTGAATGGGACTGTGTCCAGGAGGCAGCCAGACACAGAGCTGGGGGCACAGAGGAGAGATTGGGGCTGAGACAAACCTGAGACCCCCCAGCAAGTGTGGAAATAGAGGCTATGGAGCATAGAGGCATTTCCCGGGGGCAGGTGTGTGGGTCCGGCCATGGTGACCACTTGGAAATGAAGAGGACTGGCCAAGTGGGATCACCCTGGTGTGGGGGCCACCAGCCCTGAGCTTGGGCTGAGAGCTGGGCCGAATGCAGCAGGACTGGTGCTGCCAGATCTGCTGAGATGGGAAGAGAAGTTGCAAACTGGGTTTTATGTGACATATCTTGATTTTTAAATGTTGGCAAACACAAGACATTTTTTAATGGTGTGGACCGAATTAAATGTCTGCAAATGAGTTTTAGATCCAGGTAGCAGAGGGAGCATTAAAGGGTGGGCAGGCAACAAGGAGTCCAGAAAGAGCAGCCAGAGAGTAGGGAGGAAAGCCCTCAGTGGAGCGGCTGTCTCAAAGAGCCAGTTTGACCCTGGTGGGCATGGTAGCAGCGGTGCCGGACCAAGAAGGGAGATGAGAAGGGGACGTGTGGGCTAGGGGCAGGGTTGAGGGGGGTCCCTGGCCTCTGAGCCATCTGTGTAGAGGAGGCGGGAGGGAGAGGGTGTATTTTCCTCTTCCCCTGAGTCTGACAACATGTCTCCTCCTTCCCCAGAAAGTCACTCGAGCTGCTGAGATGAAAATACATCCGTGGGACAGAACACTGACGAACCATGTGCCCAAATGGGAAGGCTGGCTCTCCTGTAAGAAGAGTGCATTCATTTTCAGCATCTCAGGCTGTGAATGGAGAGCGGGGACTCCAACTCTGGGCCTGCTGAGCCACACACGAGCCACTGAACACCTGGAGGGGGACCCGGGTCCTAGGGTGCAGGCTCCAGCAGGCTCCGTGCAGACAATCGGCCCTCATTTCTGGCAGGTACTTGGCTAACATGTAGCACTTTCCTGGATAGGCTGAGCACAGTCAGAGCTGAGCCCTGTGGAGTGAGAATCCTCCCCACGCTGGGCTTCCGCATTCAGCCCCACTAGATACCACTGTCTCCATTTCATGGACCCCCATCTAGGGGGAACTGAGAAGTCTTGAGGGAAATATGGACAGAACTCACACCCACAGCAGCTGCTGCCTCTGGGGGCAGAAAGCCTTGTTCTGTATCAGCTGGCCAAATGATGCTTCAGAAAACTCTGGAAGCTCCAAGAGCAGCTTTTGGATAGAGAACAAAAAGTCGACACTTGAGCGTGTCAGGCTCAGTAGAAGACAATGTGTAATGACCAAATTACCATGGTCTAAAAATTCCTCCAATTGCATCCAAATTAGCAGAAATAATTATGATTCACTTTAATTAGTGACTATGGAAGTGAAGCCTTGGGCTGGTGGGCAGATTGCCTGGCTTGGCAGCTGCCTGACAGCCAGGAGGAGAGGGCATCCCGGCCAGTAAGGCTGGTGGCCTAACCGAGTAGGTGTGGTATTGGGCCCGGGACCTGCAACCATTGGTCTTTGTTGATCTTCCCTCTTGTGAATGTCTGCTCAGTTATAGACAGCAGGCCCTGGCACCTTCCTCGCCCCTTATCACCACCGTGCCATCATCGCCCAGCCACTTTCACCACCCGCACCAGCAGAACCTCCCGGGCATCACTGCTTACTCATGGTCATTCCTACCCTGTGAGTAGGCTGCATGTGCCCCCTCTACAGATGGGGAAATGGTGGCTGAGAGATCTGAAACTTGCCCAAGGTCACCCAGCCAGGTGTGTCTGATCCCAGCGCCTTGGCCCATGTTCCTGCATTCTTATTTCCCTTGTCCTTGAGCTGGGGGCCTCCCATTTCAGCTCCATGAAAGGCCCCCATCTGTCCCCAGCCCTCCCAGAGAGTGAGGACCCCCAGGCTGAAGCCTACCTCCCCTCCCTCATGGCTCTGGGACCAGCTGGTGTGTGTGCCCTCAGGTGGGGCCCAGGCCTCCTACCTTGAGAAACAGCGCTCCTTTCGAGGCCAGGCTGTCGGAGCCCTTCCCATTGGTGTAACAGTGATAGGCCACGTCCATGATGGGGTAGCGGCTGGCAAAGAAGAGGCCGCTGTTGAGACCCTTGAAGCAGCAGCAGCCTTGGCAGCCATAGACCCCGACATCATACAGGATGTACTCGAAGTAGCCGTGCAGCTGATCTTTCAACTTGGTGGCCGCCCGTTTCTCGAACACCTCCTGCAGACACAGGAAGTCCAGGTTGGCAGGGAAGAAGGCCGAGATCTCGTGGTCGAAGGCCTCGTCTGGGTGCCGCCTCTTGCGTGCAGCTGGCTTCTTCACCACCGAGGCCTTGTGCGGGGCCTTGCTGTAGGCGGCGCCTGGCTCCCCGCTGCTGCCATCCAGCCCGGCTTTTGCCTTCACCAGGGACTCCCTGGAGGCAGAGGGGCTGCCCAGGCTCCCTGAGTCCCCATCCCGCTGACTGTGGTTGGGCATCTGGCCCCGTGGGCCTCCGCCGGCCCCATTCCTGGCTTGGCCCCCAGTGGCAGAGTCGTCAGCTTCAGGGAGCCGGCCCCCCTCATCGCCACTGATGCGCACGATGCAGGCGTTCTCAAGGCTACCACAGTCGGCCGGGTCCCCAGAGGCCGGGCCATTGGCTGCCTCGTCACTGGGGTGATGCCCACCGTTGCCCTTGTATTCCACAGAGGCCGTCCTCTTAATGCTCCCAGGGATGGCCCGAGCCATGCCATCGCTGCCCTGCGGTGACACCAGACTGCTGAAGCTGGCTGCGCTGATGGAGGTATTGGTGGGCGAATCAATGTAGATTTTGATCTGAGGCCTGCTGGCCCCATTGCGGATTCTGTGCCCGATCTCTCTGGCCCGTGCTTGGGTGTTAAAAACGTTGTTGTGCCTGGCCAACGAGTCAGGGAGGAGGCAGACATTGGCGGTGGCGAAGCAGAAGCTTTTGCCAGGACCCGTACCCTTCCATTCATTCAGCAGGGCTGCCCCGCCAGCTAGGCTCTTGTCCTCCAGCCGGGAGTAGACATAGGGCCTGCGGACAGACTGCAGGGGGGACCAGAGGAGGAACCCAAGAAACGCAAAGGGCAGTGAGGTGACGAGGAAGCCCAGGTAGACGGGCGTGAAGAGCACGATGCAGAGCAGCTGGTACTTCTGGCAGGGGTCGGGTATGAACAAGGCCAAAAGCCGGTCCAGCAGCCAGTAGCATGGGAAGATGAGGGCCCAGGACACAGCGTGCAGGGCGGACAGACAGCTATTGGGAAAGGGGGTGTTGTACAAAACCATCGCAGCTCACTGGGCGCCGCAGCCGGCCCTACTACATGGTGTCCGTGGCAGCCCGGGCACTTTCCTGGGGAGGGGCGTGGGCAATTGGGGGGGCAGCTGGAGGAGGGGTCACCTCCTGGTGAGATGTGACTTTGAATGATCAGTGGTGAGTGTTGGCCAGCCAGTCATGGTTCACCTCAGTGGGCCATGGTGGGCCACCAAGGCCTGCTAGAAAACCTGCAAGACAGAAGGTAAGGGGGCTTTTATTCATCTTTAGGGGAGCAGATTGAATGCTGGGGCTGTTGTCCCTGCTCATCCCACTCCTGCTTCCTCTGACATGAGAAGGACTCTTCCAAGGACCAGGGCAGAGCTAGCAGGCTCACATGGGGTATCTGGGGCCAGGTGCCAGTCCCAGCATTCTCCATTGGCCTGTGTGTATTTGGTTCTCTTGGAGTCAACAGCTTGGAGCTGTTTAGTATCTGGGTCCCACAAGCAGGCTGCGACTTAATCAGGACCATGTCTATGCGTGGCTGAGCTCAGGGTATGGGCCTGGTGGAGTTTGTGGAGGGAGAGAACAAATGAAGAAACGACTGATGGGGGAATGAACAGGCCCTGCTTGCTTCAAGGGTGAGAGGCTGGAAAGGTGGCACAGGCAGGCTTGTCTGCCCTAAGGGGCACTGTCACAACTGTGTCAGGACTCAGGCTTGGCTGAGCTCTGGTTATGAGTACAGTTCTGGTTATGAGAAAGAATTTGGGAGGACAGGGTCTGTTCTGCCCACCTCATGCTGCCTTCGAAGCAGAACTGGCCCGTGGTCTTTGGGGATGGCCCGAGCACCGTTATGGGTTAGAGGTGAATGTGGCCTTGCTTCATAAAAGGCTTCCTGAGAGAAAGTCCCTAACCTTCAGTCCTCCTGTGTGGCTCGTCCCCAACACTGGTCAATTAGGGTTGGGAGCTGCTGTTAGCTGGGACCAGACTGGAGGGGGCAGTCTCCCTATTTAGCTGCCCTGTTGTGGCCCCAGAAGCCCTTCTGGCCAAGTTCCCTCCCCAGCGCTGCCTGCAGTGGCGGTGAGTGGCCAGGCCTCACCTTTATGCCTCCCCTGGGATGCTTATAGGAGTGTTTTTGTTCCCCATTCAGGCATCGGGGTTTGAGGTGGCCCAGGGGGCCAGCAAGCAGTGGTGGGGACCACGACAGCCCTCTAAGATGTGGCAGATCCGAGCATCCAGCCTTTTCTGCCTGCCATCCTAGCCCTTCGCAACGATCCTGGGTCCCCTTGTCCAGAGCCCCTCCCCTGCCCCCCTTCAGCAGTTGCCCCGGCCAGGAGGAGCCTCCAGGCACTGCCCACCCGCCCCACTCCTGCCTGCAGTCCTTGTATCTGTGCACAGGAGCTGCTGACGCAGTTGACACAAAAGGGACTGCCACCAATGGGGCTGGTTTCTAAAGCTCTGTGGTTAATTATTTTGTCTCAGTGAAATGAAAGGAAGGTAAACAAACAACACATTAATTAGTCTGATCTACACTTTCCCCATGAAAGAGGAGAGCGAGAGTTAAACATTGGAGGCTGGCAACTTCTCTAGACATTGGAGGCATCCCAGAGTCCTCTCGGGCGCCAGGGCAGGATGTGGGCACATAGGCACCCAGCCTGCACCCCGTCTGGGCCCTTTCTCCTGCTGCACCCCTTGGCCTGGTGGGACCTTGTGGGTGGCCTGGCCCAGACTCTGCCTTCCCCTCCTCCCTGCCCCAGGGCTCTGCTTCCCTGTCCTGCACCTGGCACCTTTGCCGGGAGAAGTCCACCATGGTATCTGATGGGGCTGACAGGTCGCTGGAAGGCCATGTGTGCTGAGCTGTCACCACTCACCCCCCACAGGCTGGGTTGCTCTCTCAGGCTGCTATCTTAAAGCCGACAATGACCTCTGGCTTTATTCCTTGGGAATCCTGGTGTGTGGCTCACAGCGTTGCTCGGGAGGCCCTCGGCCCCAACATCATGGTCTCCAGAGCTGGGCTGGAGTCCCAGATGCCCTTAGATCCTCATGGTCACTCCTGAGCCCTGGGGTCAATTTGGGAGGCTACACAGTGCCCCAAGGGAGGGCAACTTCTCTGCCCTAGAAGTGGAGACCCCAGACTCGTCCCATCACCCCCGTCGCATTGCTCCACGCCCAGCTTGGGCTAGGGCCTCAGGCTGACCTGAATGAAATCCTGGCACTGGAGTCAGGCTCGCTGAGCCCGTGTCTTGTCACCTATGATACAAGGGTGGCAATCCCACTCTCCCAGGGCTATCATGCTATCATGAGGATTAAAGGGGGTGAGGCTACTTACATGGCTGGCCCTGTTTCCTTCCCTACCTGACCTCTCCTTCCCTGAGGTTGGCCCCTGTTTGCTCTCCTAGCCCATGGATTCAGTGGAGTTTGAAAATGGGATAAGCTGGTCTGTGCACTGTTCTGGGGGCAGCCTGAGCCCACCTGCAGAACTTCCAGGTGAACTTCCTGACTGACCCAGAGGACCTTCACATCCTCAGAGATGCTGTCCACCCTTTTAGGTTGGAGACCGTGGCCTTCACTAACTTGTTCCTCTCTCTGCAGCAAAGACTGACTGGGTCTGATTGTGACAAGGAGGCTGGGCTGTGGACCCAGGACAGACAGACGGGGCAGAGAGTGCTATGGTCTGCAGGTAGGAGGGCGACTTGCCCAGGAAGGTTTGGGAGCCCAGATGACTCTAAGTCTAGATGGGAGAGGAAGAGGTGCTCGCTCAGGTCTTGGGCAGGGCTCACTCTTGGGCAGTCATGGGGCATTGACAGCAAGCAGCTCCACACAGCAGTTGCTCCCCCAGGTTGCTGATGATCTGCAGTGACCTGTCAACACCGAGACACCTAATTGCTAATCTGTGGCCTGCAACCACCACAACATGGGAAGGCAGTCCTTGGATTGCTCAGAGGCTTAAACCAAAGTCCCCCCCCACCACCACCCCATACACTGTCCTGAGGGTACTGGGGTGAGTGGATCTGCCATCCCCTGGGGAGGGCATCCTCAGGAGTGGGGCCTGGCCAGGCCTGGTCCTGTTTGGGTGTTGAAAATGGAGGGTAGGGTGGGTCCTCAACACCTTTCATGGGCAACCTGCAGTGGACAGGACCTCTGCTACTGTATGCCAAATAATACCGCCACCAAGACAGCCATGCCATTTCCCATCTCCCTGGGAAATGGACCTGGCATGCAGGTACATAAGACCTGTTGCACAGAGGCTCAAAGGGTCTTAGGTGGGTGTTGACTTTGAATTTCTCCTACAGTAGGAAAGTAAGCACGCCAGATCAGCTCTGCAGGCTGAGGAAAGCCCTGGCCCCTCTGAGGAAGCCTGCACCTTTTGGGATCTCTGAGCCTTGGGGAACTTCTGGGACATTGATGAGGGTCAGGAGTTGCTCCATGTGAGGCTAGGATGGGACCTGTCCCTCCTTCATGGCCCTTCCATCTGGTCCTCATGCCTGCTGAGCCTTCCATCCAGCAGCAGGGCTGAGTTCTGGAGCAGAAGGACCTCCTCCCATCCTCTTTGTGTCCACAGGCTCATGTCTAGCAGGAGCTGGGCCAAGCCCCAGGTTTCCGCAGGAAAGGCTGAGAGGATTGCTCCAATCCAATTACCAGAATGTGCTTGCATCCGCCAGCAGCCCCAAGATCGGGGCCAGCCCATTTCTGCCTGGATGCCTGCCAGGGAGGGGTTGGCATGGCAACATGAGCTCTGAGCTGCTGAAACTTGGAGTCAACTCGTAGCTGGGAGGACAGAAAGAATGACTGAAGAGAATGCCTTTCTGAGTGATGCAGGTCAGACAAATTCAGACTAATCCTGAAAGCCACATCCCAGAGGCAGAACTGGGGCATTGGGTCTGGGGCCTGGCATGAACACGTGTGCCGTAGGGGCAACTCCCACCAACATAGCTGTGCCAGGAAATGCCTATTCACCCTTCTGGATCCAAAGCACCTGCCTCCCTTCCTTGATGCCCTCTCCAGCCTCCCTACCCGGCCTGTGCCCTCCCTGCCCTGCACAGCCCCCACTGTCCTTCTAATCAGGTACAAGTCTGTTTGCACATCAGGCTACCCTAACCCCTGACACCCTGGCAGCTCACTGGGGAGTCTCAGGCACCAACGCGGCCCAAATCCTAGCCTGCTTCACCTCTCTGGCTGGGGCAGACCCACTTTTGTCTGCCCTGCTCCAATCCAAGGAGAGAGCAGTGAGCCACACCAGGCCAATCGGCACCACCGCCCCTTGACCCCAAGCTGAATGGTCACATGACCCAAGCTCTCCCTGGAGCTCTTACTGGACCCTTCAGCAAAGAGGCATGCATTTTCTCCGAGATGGAAACACCAAGAGCCTGAAGCTTCTGGAGCCTTCCTTGAGAGTGAATCCAATTCAGAGGAAAACACTTTAGGGCCGGAAGGAGAGAGGCCAAGTCATGGTGACATCTTTGAGCTCCAGTTTCTCTGTGCCTGGGGTTTGGGGCCTGGCGTGAACACAACTTCTCGACTTTCTAGCTAATGAGTCAGCAAATTACCCTTTTCTTTGCTCTCGTCACTGAGTTGGGTTTCTGTCACTTGCCACCAAAGGGATCCTGTGTACCATATACCAGCTACACGATCTTTCTAGAACTCAATTCTTATCAGTTCCTCTCCTGTGGCACGCCTTGACCTGCCCACTGGGAAGTGTTGCCTCCCTCCTGGTGCCTATGATGTGTGCCCAGTGAGCATCCCTCAGGAGACAGCAGTGCAGACGTTATGAGCATACACTGGTGTCACACATGCCAGGTTCAGGCCCTCCTGCTGGATACTGGATAAGCCGCATCACTGACTCTGAGCTGTAGTTTCCTCATCTGGTAAACATGCATAATAACACTATCTCAGGGCAGTTGGAGATGATGCATGGGCAGCACTTAACACGGTGCCTGCCACATCCCTAGTCATATTTGTGTTACTCCTACTGCTGATAGTTTCCTGTTGCACAGACTCTCAAGATACAGCTGGAGCCTTCAAAAGTCTCCTCCTCGTGTAGTTGGCTGCTTGACAAAGAGGGCGCCCTGCTATCCCAGTTGGGGGCAAGGATGGTACAAAGGGTGTCGAGGCCTCCATCTCTGACAGAACTGTCTGTTGTGGGCTGTTTGTGCAAGCCCACGTCACGGGCCTCTGCAGAAGCCAGGTGCAGGCAAAGGGGCCATAAAATTTTCAAAGAAACTTTCCATGGGAGCTATTAGTGCATCATGTG